GACGAGAAAGCGAGGAGGGGAATTTGAACGCTCGGAGTCGTAGCGGTCGTAGACCTGAAATATCAGATACTCAGCGAGTCTTCATGAGACGGAGTTATGAGGAATCTGGCTTTATACCAACGCGTTATTTTGCCGACATATTTGACGTGACTCTCCAAACCATTAGAAACCATTTACATTACATGGGCTTACATCACAGGCGTTATGCTAAGAAAATTTATATGACTGACGCTCATAGAATGGCCAGATTAAATTTCGCCATAGAATATTTGGATTTTGATTGGAGTAACACTGTTTTCTGTGACGAGAAAACTTTTAAATCCAGTCAACACGAGCGTCTACACCTTTGGCGATTCAATAAAACGCGATACACGCAAAATCATGTCGTGCCAAATAGAGAATCGGGTCGTATCTCGGTAAATTTGTATGGATGGATGACTGCTGATGGTGTTGGAGACTTGACCTTTTTGCCACCACGAGCAACGGCATCAGATTATGTTGATATTCTCCAAAATGCTATGTTGCCACCCGTCCGGAACGTTTATCCAGAAAATGAAATGCGTCAATTTAATTATTTACAGGATAACTGTCCCTTACATAAAGCAAGGGTAACACGTGCTTGGTTTGATGCACATTCGGAAATAAACTTGATACCATGGCCTGCAAAATCGCCAGATCTCAACCCTATTGAAAATATGTGGAGTCTTATGGTTCAGAGATGGTGTAACCGTAATGAACGAACAGCAGAAGCACTACAAGGGCACTGCAATGACGTTTGCGAGGAAACACGTGGGTCTGATATCTGCTCAAGACTGGTGGGCTCGATGAGGGAACGTCTCCAAGCTGTTATAGAGGCAGATGGCGGCTACACAAGATTTTAAGAATTATAATTTTATAAAAGAATTGTATATATTTTTTAACAACCAAAGAATTAGCATTTTCGCTATCTCTTCTAGTTTTAGCCCTTGTCTCGCACTAAGCTATGGGTCGGCGCAATATGTTTTTCGTCGCTATTCATTTCTGTTATCCGTTATCTCAGTATATTCAGACCTATATCACGCATAGCTTCTTACGCATAGCATTTCACTACCTACTGATTTTTTTTATTTGTATTAAACTATAATTAATCTACATTCTAATGTAGGATATTTGTAGACTATAAGACTTTATTTACGATATTCTAACTCTAAAGTATTTAAACATACAAACAGACAGACAGAAAAAAGAATATTTCTGGCTTCTATTAGTCTTATGAAGGCCGTCCATATATTTTTTTTCCAAAATATCTTACAAATGTAACCTTGTTACATTTTTATTATAGGTATAGATAATTACTGTCAAAGGTTACGTCAAAATGATGAAGATAGCAATAATGACGTGCACTTGACGTGTCAAAAAATTAATGCTACGGAAAATCAACCTTGTTGTTAGTTGTCGTAACACGCGAAATTCAACCTTAGGGTAGTAGACCACTTTCTTGGCCGACTGTACAACCTATGACCTACAGACTTTGAAAGTTGTATTTATTATTGTGATAATACATATTATTTTGGTTATGACATTATTTATGTAAATGTCATTACTTATGATAAAGAGCTGGTAAGTTTCTTTCGCTTGTTCTTGTCAGCTAAAAGACGTCCTGTACAAGTGGTAAGACAGACAGACAGACAAGTGGAATTAAGATATTTTCTAGTACCACGCACTAGTTCCACTTTAACAGATTTATATAAATACCTACTACCACTTTAAAAGGTAGGCTGTTAGCAGCAGACTCATTTAAGGTAGTAGGTAAGTATTGCTCATTACTGAAAACAAAATATTTTATAGGAAACGACGACAACTTTTTAAATGGAGGCTTCAATCCCGGGAAGCGTTGCGTTAACATGTGGGACGAAGGCTGCATTAACGGGCAACTTAACGGGGCAGGTAACACTGACATTCGTATCTATAATCGAGAGAAGTGATTACTTGAGAAAATGTCATAAATTAAGCAAACATTTTTAACCAATAGACAAATATTTGAATAAAATATTACTAGAATGATACAGGAGCAGTCACTAGAATCCTCTAGCGACATGGTAACTATCGAATATACATAACTACGATCGCCAAATAGAAAACTCAAGCTAAGCTCAGTGAGCAAGAAATACACGATTTACACGTTCGTTTTATTCACTTCCAAATTGACGACGTTCCCAAAGAAAAGGGATGACGACTGGGTAAAAAAAAAATCTATTCAATAAAATATTAGACACGTATATTTTTTACTTCAATGTAACAAGAAATAGCAAACAAGCATTAAAGTTGAGGAGTAGGAACTCGCTCAGTTTACCTATCGAAAGTACCTATTAAAACAAAACGAAAGCACTAAAAAAGCACCTTCACTAGATGGCGAATCTAGCAAAAGTTTATTTTTGCAGGAAACGAATGGACTAAAGACAGTAATTTCCGTTCCGTACTAACATATTAAAAAAACTGCAATTTGAAAAATTCGAAACTTAGATATCAATTCAAATACGAAAAAGTACAAATAGAATATTAGTTGTTTATTGAGCTTTAAAAACTAATTTACTTTTGTACGTAAAAGAAAACCGGAAGGGTTGTCATGGAGAAACCAAGAAAAAACTGTAGTGACATCTAGTTTGATTTCGGGAAAAATGTTATTTTTTTTAAATACTTCCTCGAAAAATAATAAAAATAGAATACGTGTTATCTGATGGAAAAACAAACAAAAATTAGTCGTCATCCCTATTGCAGAGTTCATCATGCATGTATTAACTAATGATGGTCCTCCTCATGGGACATACTTGGAAACAGTGGGGCCTGTAGCAAATTTTTTAAACTATTTCACAGGTAACGACGACAACTTCCTGAATGGTAGTTTCAATCCTGGCAAGAGATCGCTTTATGAATTATTCAGCAAAATGAAGAAAACTCATCCGAAGAAACAGTAAAATTCCTAAGCGACTCTATATAGGTACAGTCGACTACAGACGGTCAGTCACTCCAAAAACCCAAATTTCTCTAATCGGTTTTAAGCCTTATATATTGATAATTAAAATTTAAATTATTAATATTTGGCGTTTTGTAGTAACTTGATGTATGTAGTTTTCTAAATTTATAGTATGTACTTTGCATTATACCTACAAGACTCTGAATGAGATTTGTTTCGTAGTATTATCATTTTTTATGCTTTCTTAAAACAAATGTATTCAACTACTTTTTTCTTCAATATAATGAGGCTTTAAATATACGCTAGGTTGTATTTATTAACTAGAAATAAAATGGCAATTTTCCTAAGTATGTAATTTATATAGTCAAGGAATAAAAACAATCAGAGAAAAATACACAATTTTATTAAATTGAGCTAGTACGCCTGTGTACATATTCCTTTACATAAAAACAATTAATATAAAAATATTATTATTTAATTCCATTTGCAGCACTTGGCAATTTCATTGCTACAACAATTATAATAATCTTATCATAATTATATTTTATGTTGTCTCAAAGCTAGCTAATTTAAACTAATTACAACTTAAACAATATTTCAAAATGGCGTTCGAATAAGAACCTTTTACAATACATAGATACTTACGCCAAAATCCTAATATGTAACCATTTTGACGCTAAGGATCAATGTACTAGGGTTCATCAGGGCAATTTGATTGGTTACTGCTTGGCAAGTATTATTGATCCTTAAATAATTAAAACATTTTAACAATATGAGAAATTATTAAACATATATTTTTAAATTCGATTATCTACAGTCTATGAAAAGCTCTTTAATTTTTGTGTAAGGCCTTTTTACATTTTTTAAATTTAAATTCAGGCCGTCAAATAGGGATTTAAATTGTTAAATTCATAGACGTCATTAAAATACCATTGTAAGCTTTGAACTAAGTGAGTGCACTTAATCTGGAAATAAAGACCGTTCTGTTAGACATAAGTGGCAATTCTGTTGCACAAACTAGATTAAATTTAGGTTTAATCCTGTCAAACATCGTTTTCGACGTTAATATAACATAATTAAACATAGTAGGTAGTATATTTTTTGGAATAATAACAGTTATTAGATTACAGAATAATGTTAAAACAAATCCAAAATTATTATTTTTTACTTTAATTATGACCGTGTCACAACAGAATTGGCACTATTGGCTATACAGAAGACATACATATAGCGAACAGGAAGACAACAGCCGCTCTTAAAGTCACCTTCGATATATCATGAACTTAATCGTATGCAGTCCTACTCTTTGACTTGACATTGATGATGCATGCATCTGTGATTCGTATTAACACATTGTTTTATCGTCAAGTTTATTTCAATGCAACATTTAGTTGGGTTACTACAGTCGGTTCCTAGGGCAGACGAAAACACTGACTGACAGACGATATTATGTGAGTTTAAAGAACGCGATACATATCTGTACCCAAAGACATCGGTATCGTTTCTGCGTAGTTCTAACTTTTGTTGGACGCCATGGGTCGCTGACCCCATATCGTTCAACGATGGGATATACTACGCAGAAATGATATGTATGGGTAGTGATACGTATCATTTTTTCTTTCTGGCGCTCACATAATAGTTTGTCACAGTTCGTTTTCTACACATGTCAATTTTGAACTTTAATATCAATGGATTAGAGGTTATAATCAAGTGGAGATTTAAATGACCTGCAGCTGTATTGACTATATGTATAGTCGACAGCATATCAGGTACTAAAGAAGGAGAATTCCACCAATTAGTTTTAAGCCTTGTATTGTTGATTTTAAAGTACAATATTACTTCAGAAATTTGACCCTTGTAATGAATTGAGCTCATTTCACTAATCAAGTCAAGATTGAATCAAAATAGAAGAACAAAAATAAATAGGCCTTACCATGAGCTTTTAAACATGACACTATTACGATGAGAATTGCAAGATGAATGGTGTTATAAATATAGTCACATTCTAATATTTACATCATATTTAAGGCTCATAATAAGACATCACAGCATGTTTATATCATTTACCAAAGGTGAGAAACAGGTGCACATTATCACTCCAAACAGATCCTATCATTTAAAGCGGTGGGTGCAGAAAGCATTTTACTTTTTAAAAGTATAATATTGCTCTAAACAAGCAACAAACTCTCCTAAACACATTTATTGTCATATAATTGATTTTACATTTGCAATAAACTATCACAGTGTCTTTGACTACATTTTCAACTTTATTATTAAAATGTAGCTGCTTATTATGTTGTTTGTCATTCATAATGGCTGGCTGCCTGCGGCACTTGGCACTGAGATATTAAAAAATATATCCATTGGGTTTTTGATATTGTTAGGTTGCCCAATGGCCATCTTATTCACTATAAATTTAAATTAACTTAAAATTACAGAAATCTAATCTTCAATCTCATAAGTACCTACTCTGATTAATGTTATAAAAAGAGTTAAGAATACTACAATTCTGTCTCTAAACACTTTTGAAAATACCAAAGATTAACAAAATATAAATGGAAACAGTTGTAAGTACTAATGCTAACTAATATTTAAATAATAATAAAATAATTATAGATGAAACATTAAAATTATGAATTGGTAATTTCATTGATTCACCAATTCAAAGATATTGTACAAAGATACAGTCAACAGCATACTAGGTTATACATAATTGACAAATTTCTTCAATTATTTTTAAACAAATAAGTAACAAGTGCTAATCTTCTTTTTTTAATAGCTCAGCTGTGAATTCTACACAATTTCATGTTAATTACACATTAAGGATATAATAAATAAGTAGGTAATTAATTTTGAACACAACAAAAATTTATAAAATAGTATGTTACACACAAACAGAAATTAAAACCAATTTCAGAATTTTACTAATTGTTGTAACCTAATATGCTGCTGTGTACAAACAATTTATGATAATTATTCTTTAATTATTCTGTCCATGCCAATGATCTTGAGTGTATGGTGGCAATCCCATTGGCACTTTGTATCCATTATTCACATTTGACACTGGATTTGCAGGATTCTTCTGTGCATTTGCTTGTCTAAACTTTGTAGAATATTTATAAAAATCTGACATCTCAAATGGCTTAGTTTCTTCTCTATATGGTATACATTTACCCTGCTCAATAACAGTTAAATTTTTAGGAGAATCTAATGATACCGCACTTGGTGACAGCACTGGAGGACTGTGAGGCACTTGATTTGGACTCTGCATTGCAGAATGTCTGCCAGAAGAGATCATAACCTCATAAGCTTGAGAATTTCCTATACTCGATGTCCGTTTTAAGCTAGAAGTCTTCTTCAAAAGAGGAGCCTCAGCTTTTGTAGGAGAATCTAGTGATGTCTCATACCATTGCTTCTCTTTCATTTTCATATCAGTCTGAGAGAGCGGGGAGAACTTATTCATACTAACTGAATCGAAATTAGACTGTGAATACCCAGATAGTTGACTAACAGGGCTTATTGCATCAGGATATGTTCTTCTGTCATCCCTGATGTAGTCATCAGTAGAGACTTGAAGTTGCATATGTATTGGATTCCTAATCATATTACGTTCTCTTAAAGGCAATGTGTTCGGCACTGTTACAACTCTTTCTATTGGTATATGCACTCTTTCTGATTGTTCCTGTATATCTGGCTGTGATCTATGCTGGTATCCACCCACTGGTGCTCGATAATTATCAGTCATGTTTTCTAAGTGATGATTATAATCACTATGAGAAGTTAAATGATATGTTTGAGTTCGCTGAAGAGTATTCCTGCGTACCGCTTCTGGCCTACGTTTGCTTTGACCTTGTACTTGATGATGGTGTAAGGCACCTAGGTGTTGATTTTGTGCTTTCAAATGCGAGGCATATTGATATAATAAAGGAATACTTCTGATACCATTTTGTACAGTGTGAGGTGGAACACTTCCATGCGTATAATGTGTTATGTCAGGATGACTTGAACTAAAGTGAGTTTCTCTTAATCTTGATACATTCTGAGTTTCAGGAGCACCATTGCAATACATTTTGTTCATGTATTCAGTAGTCATAGTATGATGTCGATGCATCGGCGTTTGAGTGTCACTATGCATACTTTCTGGTGTAGGCTCATGACGACCAGCCAAAGCTGGATACGTATGAGATGTATGAATTGAAAATGTATCAGGGTTTCGTTCTTGAGGTGGTGACGGGAAGAAATTAGAACAGCTCGTTTCTGGACGGCGTACATGTCTCGAAACGGCGCTTTTGTTTGAAATACCTGATATAGATGGCGTAGAAAGTCTGTGTGATAAATTTTTACGTGAATCGATATCATGTACACGTTCACCAGTACCAGCTCTGAGACGCCGGGACGAATTATCTAGCCCATCATTCACATCATTTCCATCTGTAGACTTTTCGCTACTTTTTACACTTCCTAGTCTGTCACGTTGTGGTATTTCAGGGCTCAATGGTGCTTCTGGTGGCATAATACCAGTCAACTGTACTTCCTGAACACAAAGTTTATAAAGTTCTTCATTTTTAGCTGCCAGCATTTGCTCCAATTCCTTCTTTCTGGCTTGCAACTTTAAAAGTTTGTCCTGCTTGTCCGAATGCAAATCGCTACCCATTGTGCTTGTACCCATATTCAATATATATTTCGGAACAAAAACACCATGAGTTAAATGAATAATCAAAGAAATTAACGAAGAACGAGTCAATAAACTAAATAAACAAAGAAAACTTAAACCCTAGACAGACTGACACATACACAAGAAACAAGGCACCCATTTTTTTTAGTCACTGTCACAGAGCATTTAATACTTCTTTATTCTGCTTGTCAAATGAGTAACTTAATTTATACATGTAAAATGAAAATGAAATGATGAAAAGTCAAATCAATCGAGCATTTAATATATGAGATGAGATTGGGAACCAATGAGAACAAAGTCTTTTGGACCAAATACTAAAGCTGCGTATAAATGGGGTTAAAGTGAAAATAATATGCATCTTCATTATTTTTTTGATAATGTTGGATTTATAAAACAAAAAAGTATGCTCAATCGTCGTGGTGAGTTTGACTTTTATCTTCATAAGGATTATAATTTAATATTATACATTAGAATATAAAGGACATAATAACATACATTATAACTTAGTAATTCAAAAGATAATACAACAAATGAAGGTTTTTTATGTGACTGCACAATAAATTCCGTAAACTATAATAGTCTCAACACAAATTACAAAGATAAACTAAATATTTAATATAAATAACTGATAAAAAAGAATCTCTGGTAATAATTATGGTGATAATATATAGTAAAAACCAAGTTACGCGCCACCATAGATTTATTATTTTTATACAGGATGTCCTAGAACTGATTGATTGTGACCATCATGAGAAAAATCAGAAAAAAATCTATCCCATGCAGTTTGAAAATTATGGGCATTTAAAGAAAACTTAAAAATTGGGTCAAACTAACCATTTTTCGGTTATTGTTGTTAATTTTTATTATTTTTGTTTTATAAACTTTGGAACCATAACCCTTAATAACATTTCTAGAATGGTAGTCAAAAATAATTACACAATTTCCCCAAGTGTTGTAGAATACGATGTGCTTTGCTTTTGGGTATTCCTAACGGAAACTCTCGAGTCATCTGCGACCTCTTGCAATACCCCTCTCTTGTAAAGAAAGCGATGTCTACCTCCAGCCCGTATTTGATTCAGGAAAAGGCCACCCTCCGTGAATAAACGGTGCGCATTAAACACGTGGTGATCCCGATAGCGCTCTACATTTTGATATCTTTCATGGTAAAGTCTAGCGACGGTACTTATGTTACATCTGCATTCCCTATAAATGAGGTGCATGTTCGCATATTCTTGTGAAGTGTAGCGCGTAGGCATGGTAGATAACAAGGATGCCAACACACAAGTCCAATGAAGAAGTATTAAAAAAAAGCACTTCACTAGATGGCGACTCTACCAAAGGTGATTTTTGCAGGAAACGAACGGAACAAAGATAGTAATTTCCGTTTCTTTTAACAAACATATTAAAAAACTGGAATTTGTAAAGTTCGAAACTTAGATATCAAAAATGTACTTAGGATAAAGTAGAAATAGAATATGAGTTGTTTATTGAGCTTTGAAAACTAATTTACTTTAAAACATGAAAGAATAAGGGTTGTCATGGAGAAATCAAGAAAGTACTGTAGTGACATCTAGTTTGGTTTCGGGAACTATTTTTTTTTTTATTAAATATTTCCGCATTAATGAGTAAGTCATAGACAAAATTGGTCCTAGCATATGAAAGAAACGGTAAATAACACTGTTCCACTTAAACTTTTTTACGCTTTGCACTGCTCTAGCTCTTATCACTCATTGTTATCACTTGAAAAACAAGGGTGACATGAGATGAGATGACAGTAAAGAAAGTTGTGATCACTTGCGTTCCGTCAAGGTTGTTTCAATAGGAAATGTAAATTCGCAGTTCTTTAAATTAGTAAATGTTTTAAATTCAAATAATCCAGTGTCTTTAACCCAGTTAAATAAGGCTTAATTATGTCGAAGATTTACAGAGCACTTGTAACCTCTGCTGACAGATTTGTGCCCTCTAAATTGCGGCCACTTTGGGAACACGAAGCTGGTAAAATTTCTAAACAATTGTGGAACGTAATTATCTAGTACCAATACTACATACTATTATGTATTTATTACAGGACCTAAAACCGTTTTCTTTTGGGCACCTGCCTTCAAATGGGTATGTATTGCATAAACTTAGTTTAAAATGAAACTTCGAATGTAATGCGGAAATTTTCCAAGGTCATTTTATTTTTATCCCAAGACCTTGCATAATGGGCAACAATTTAGATATAATATTAAGAGGAAAGTACTGAAAAATATAGTTATGAGTATGAGCACTTATCTTTTAATCTTTTAATGATTCAAATTGTACACTTCTAATAGTACTTTTAAAAGAGATTGTGCTTGTTATTTTATTCTTACGGACAGATAAGATTTCAAAGTTGTCCTCTATGAATCTTCTAAGATTTGTGAAACATGTTAGAATGATATTTTTAATTAGAATAAGACAAGTTTGTGCATTCATATGGAATGATTGGTCAATATTAAAATAACAACACTAAACAAATCATTTACTTACACACACTTAGAACTGCATGTTACAAGAAAAAACTCACCATAATATTATTAAAAGGACAATGGTTAGTGTTAGTAAGTTATTTCTATTCATATTATATCATATCAATAATATACCTAATAGACAGCAGGAAGACTATATATACTATACATTTATTTTTGTATATTATTCCTTATTTACTAAATATACAGATAATTTACATACATGTACGACACCTGCAAGAAAAAACGTCCTAACTCAGTTTTAGATGTTTTTCAGGAGAGCATTATAAGGGTAAAAAAAAAAACATACAAATTTTGGTCAAGTCCTAGCCACCCAATCTTAGAAAATTTTGTTATTGTTGTAGGACTTATGCATTTCAATTTTATGGATTTATATTATTTTGTGTATTGCCGAGTTAAAATCATTTTTTTTTACAGATACTTAATAAAATAACATTGTGTCTCAGACATATAACCATAATAATGTTGTTTCAAAATATTGCATTCACAGAATATTGTATGTCTCCTTTGATTTACAAAAAAATTACAAATTAAATCAAAATTGAGTATGGATTTAAATAATATCGAATCTGCTGTCAGACTTTTTATACTTCCACTCATGTCCTCAGATACATGAATTGCCAATATTATTTTTATGCCCATGAAATGTTTGAGTAAAGTACCATTGATAGATAGGCCCAACGTTATTTCGTGTCCTAGACGAGTGTAGTGGTGAACTATATCAACTGAGGCTTCTCCATTAATAGTTTGTCAATTGTTCTTGCGTTATAACCCATTTAAGACATTTTCAAGAACCCTAGTAAATATTTTGGAAATATTGTATACCTTGATAATCCACAAACAATATTAATCAGTTATATCAGCTCAGTTATATCATGAAGTTTTACTGCCAAATTGTGTTATTTAACTGCTTTGAAGAGTAGCTTGTTGTAGTGTACCTTTTTATCGATTCTACAGACCACGAGAGCTTTTCAGTTTTGTTAATGAGTGGAATACGGTTCTCATTATAATTTCATGCAAATCCAAAGCAGAATCTAGCTTACTCACATTTTTGATATTTATCAAGTTTCTTAATTATTGGGGTCATGATGACTAGTAATAAAAAGTTTCTACAAGTGTAAAAGCAGTTGCTACACTGTATACTGTTTTTTATCCATCAGTAAATCAGGGATTTCTCCTGAGCCAATATTTGTAACTTTTGTTTGTGTAGGATTCCAATGGGCTGAAATATCGTAGGGCCAGGTGCTTTGCAAACGTAAAAACGATTGATTAAGATCTTGTAAGTTACAGTAATTGATCTTTGTTGAATAATACATATTACAGATTATTGTTATCTTTAAAATCCGCTAAACAATTCATTTTCGGTTATTTACAAAAATGACGAACAAGGTAGCAAATAATCTGATACTACTAATAATCTGATACCCGCGTAAATTATAGCTTTTCACTAGCGTGTGATCTATCAACCCGTAGGTGAAAGAAAGGAGCAGTATTTCCAAAAATTACCCCCTATATACAAAGTTAGAAATTGCCTCATTACAATATTTATTTATATTTTGTATATATAATTTTGTTAATTAGCGAAAACTAATAATGAAAGGTTTATAATTCTAAACACCTTCCATAACGTCGCATGGTTGCACATGGGTGTGTTTCATTGTCACGTCCCCCACTTTCAGGGTTTGGTGTTGGCTGGTTTGGGTGACTTGAAACGGCCTGTCGAGACCTTGTCCATACCCCAGTCCGTGTCACTAGCGGCTACTGGTATCATCTGGTCACGTTATTCTTTAGTTATCATCCCTAAGAATTATAGTTTATTTGCGGTAAATGTATTTGTAGCCATAACGAGTTTGTATCAAATAAGCAGAGCATTTAAATATCAGCAATCATTAAAAGCTAAACAAACCAAGGAGAAGTAAATCTGCGTTTATGAGAATATGCTGTTCTGTTAAAATTTATTAACAGCGTTTTTAATAAAAGGGTTTAAAAATAAAATATTATAAAAGTAGGTAACATACATGACAATAGAATCAGATAAATACCAACATACTATTTTACTTAGTTCAAAAAACAGGCTTTGCTATGACATACTACAAACTCGAAACGTTATGTTTATACGTTTCTTCAGAATTTTACACCATACAAATCACAATAAAATAATGTACTTTGAAATAATAAATGGTGCAAGAGTGGTGCGATAGCGAATTGCATACGATTTTCTACTTATAAAAGTATTTTACTATATCAATGACAATAACCGAAACAAAGCATAAGTGTGAATAAAAAATATTAATCGAATGGAACGTAAACTGGTCCTTTGTTAAATTATGACCAAAATAGTTTTCTTTCTGTACAGAAATTATTCTTTCATGGGGTTTGTAGATTTTTGTAGCTTAGTTTAAATCAATCTCAGAGGGTAAATAAGTCATATATTTATTATTAATTAAGAAAATAAATACGAAAAGTAGAATTGTGTTGTGTAGAGCTTTCTTTTTAATTATTGCGAATATTGATAATTTTTGTTTTTATAGCACAAGTTCCAAGAATTAAATGGTACGTAATAAACGTTGGTGCTTCATAAAGCCTTATACGTTATAGCTTTTTGGCTATTCCATGTGATATTAGATATTTCTATGCACATTCATAATTGCAAAAATGTAAAAACATGATTTTTGTAGGTATTTACAAGGAATAATAATTTCCATATGATGTGATAAAAATTGTTAACATTTTTTGTTACACTTGTATTATGTTTATATTTATTTTGTTATCATGTTTTATTAATAAAATAATGTGATATCATTTTTCATTCCTGTTTGTATAAGAACGAAAAACTTTCACCATTTTCAAATCTTTGATACTTGGATATATACTTGTCAAGTGTATATGTCATACACATAGGGAAATTTAATGTTTTGTGAAAATGTTATTTATTTTTGTATCATGTTTACTAATTAAAAATATACTTATTGTTTATCTGATGTTTTGTCTGTTATTTATGCGTTATGTTAATTCTCTGCATTGTGCATAAACTAATTTCCTTTTCATATAAATACTAACTATGTCAACTCGTTTACATTTCATCAAATATTAAAAATTGCATGAGGATATGCTCAACATGTTTGGTGGTAAAATTGCTGTAACCCAATACAACTACATAGGTTGGTTACAACCAATGGTAATGAAAATCCGTATCCGTATATCAATCAACAGCTCGCCGTTACAATAACTGTCTCTCTTCTTTTTAGTCTGTGGTAGGTAAGGCACAGCTTCTGAGTGTAAGTATGTTATGATTCTATTTGTCTAACACCCGTAAATATTTTTAACAAATAAACAAGAATTTGAATGAAGTGAGAAATGTTAATAAAGTTGCAATACTATAATCATTTTCATTATGAATATTTTTCAGAAGACTCATCAATGCAAAATTGATCAAATAAATGTAATATTTCATTAAAATTCTCGTCTATTGGTTCAAAAATCTGCTTAAGTTATGCCATTTTCTCGAGTAATTACTTCTCTCGACTATACCTAGACACGAGTGTATAACTTTTATCGTGTTAAAATTGGTAATTCAAAACCTTTAGTTGAATATTTCTACATCGTGCAATGGTCTCTTACGTGAAGTTGTCAGTATAGGGTAGTTTCGGTTGTGAAAAAATAATTACGAAATTTGCACAAAAACTAAAATTTACATAGTTATAAACACAGAGATTTTGATGTTAATCGTAAAATCGCACGATTATCTTATAAATAAAAGTCGTAATTTTTTGTTTGTGTGTCACGTGACTTGAAACACGTCCCGCCATTATGTGACGTCACTGTGGCGACAATTGTCAAATTAGTCATAAAGATATACCTATTAATTATAAACAAAATTATAGCGCAGTTCTTAGCTTATTAATATGTAAATTAATTCGTGACCTATCGTTAGATGGCATTATTCAAGTTTTGTTGACATTTATTACTCTATGCACCTGTTTTGTGTACATATTACAGTGACGTCATGAATATGACGGACAGCGTTTTAGAAAGTATATATATTTTTTTAATTTTAAGACAAGAGAACATATTTATTTCTTCGAAATATTAGTTTCATGACTTTTAAAATTAAAATAAGCAGTTACAAATATTATTTCAAACGAAGTAGAATATTGTGCTTGTCGCAAAGTAGCTATTGTTATATGTCAATCAGCCCGAAACGTTTATCTAAATCATGGCCAATGCATGCTTCGATGTAGTGAAAATGATAAATATTATCGCACCAACGCTACCCGAAACGTTATTTTATTTCCTTGACATTTGCGAACTCAGATCATGCAGGAATAACTCTGATAGTGAAGATCAAAATCACAACTTAAGGTTTTAAAAATTGTATTTCAAATAAAACTTAGGTTCCTATAAAGAAGCAGTGCCCATATAGTATAATCCACCTAAATATTATATAAATAAAGTGATCAAACCATACCGCATCTGATGAATAATAATTTGTATCACCTAAATTCCACAGGCTCTGGTAGCGGCATCTGTCGACGACTACAGGCGTCCGCTCGACAAAGTGTCGACTTCACAATCTGCAACCCTAGCGGCTACCGGCCTCATCTGGACTCGGTACTGCCTCGTTATTAAGCCGATCAATTATTCACTTTCAATTTGTAACTTCTCACTGGGAGTTGCTAACGCAGTACAATGCTTTAGGGCTTACAGATTCCAAAGAGGTCTAAAAACCGTCGCCTAAACATTCATAATAACGTTTGACACCAAAATCATCCTTCATTATAAATGTTGATGAGAATGTAACTATTTAAAAAAATATCTTTACTGAATTTGTTTTATGAAAAATAATGGCCACTTCTAGTTACACAGTATATCTCAAACTCTAGTCTTCGCTCGCCCTGTGGGGCGGAATAATTACCTACCTATATACCCATCGCATGCCTTCGGTCTCCAGTCTCTCGCCTAAGTCAAATGACTTGGACATCTCTAAGTCCAGTTCATCTTTAAAGTTCACTCAGAAAAGTTAAAGTTGAGTTTACAAATTACGCCCGAAATCATGCAGCCAATATGCACACTGCCAAGGGCTACTCAAGATCAATTCTCATCAGTCGTGTTACGACTACACCTCATACAATGGCGTCTTGCAATCCCACCCAAAGTGATCGAATACGATTTGATCTGATTTATGAAATACAAGCAAAGGATATAGTGTCGGATATGCCTTTATTACATCTACCAACATAAATAAGTATTGCCACATTCTATCTTAACTAACTACCTCTGTAATAAGTATTTGATATATAAATATTTACACAAAATAATAATTATAAGTTATATTACTGTCAAAATAAAAATGGTGACGGTTTCTATTTTTTCCTAATATAAGGTATTTTACTTTTTTATTTTATCAGTTAAAATTTATCTCGAATTGTAGATCGCAAGTCAAAACTAAAACTCGATTATTAATTAACAAAACTTGAATTCAAAATTCTAGTCCGAAAACTGGCATTTAAAATCGACTTAATTATTTAATACAACAATTGATTTTTATATTTTCAGCATTTGTTTATAATTTACACAGCCTAAAAAATCTGTGTTATAGTTGCGAAATATCAGAACGATAATTAAAACAATAATACATGTCTCTTGCCATGCTAGTGCCATTATTATTAATGTTTGAAATATACGTATTTGTATTTTAACATTAAAATTTTATTATGTTATCTAATTTATTTATAAGTATATATTGCATGTTACAATATACCAGCAATGTCTCGAATTATAGCACTTAGTTTGTAGTTTAGCAATAACCACAATACCTTGTCCAGAAAATACTATCTAGTTACCAATTTTTTTTTTTTAATTATGAACCTTAATCTGTTAATAGCTAACTGTTATGATCTGCTAAATGTCGGCATTTGGTGATAACCTGATGTGTTAATTGTGCATAGCAAACTGCTTGTCGAAAATACTGGATTAGCACTTTGTAAAAGTGTCTGATTTCATTTATATAGGCTATAATCTGCTCAAGCAGTCTTGACCAGATATATGTATGCTTGCTAAACCAATTTGATATAGAATGCATTTATTTCTGCCCATATATCAAACATAACGACGACTGGCTTCAATGTAGTATGTAGCATGCTTGTAGTATCCATGTTGTAGATAACCAATAAATTATATAAATTCAATGTGCATAATTATTTTCTACCTTATAATAAAACTTTCTTGTGTTTATTTCATCACATTATCATCATCACCAGCGTATTAATGTCCCCACTACTGGAGCGCAGACCTTTCCTATGGATGGAATTTAATCAAATAAAATAGGGAGAACGTGTCATGACCCGCCATTCGGGTCCATTGCGGATTGGTAGATGTTAATAACTACTCTATAGCCGGGAACAACCGCTTAACGTGTCTTCCGAAACACGAAGGAGCTCGAAATAATAAATATTTGGTCACCCATCCTATAAAGTTGCTTAACAACTACATCGCCAACCGAGCACCCTTAGTACTGTGCCAGAAGTAATATTTCAGTAACTTAAATAGTCTTTCGACTAAAAATATAATTCAAAATTTACAAGTAACTAACCGTGATAATCTTTGTTGTTTCCGATTTTTACATCATAATAAAAGACTTAACTTGAGATCAATGCGTGTGATATGTTTTATATATTTATCTAATAGAAAATATCATTGTAGCGTTGTGAATTCAAAATTGATTTTATATAATAATTTATTTATTCATATACACATTCATTTATATAAACTATAATACACTCAATCTTCAACCATAGCTATCAGTCTGTCCATACTGATAGGACCGAACGTCCTACCATTATCTTCCGAATACATTATCACATTTCTAATGACGTAACACTGCATGTCACCAATCTTATACAATGGTCTTCCTTCTCTCGTTTTCCCCGCTATAGGCACGAACGTTATCCCCTTTTCGATACAACGAGACTCCAGTAATTCCGAGAAGGATTTCTGTTGTGTGCTTAAAGCTAGAACATCAGCTATTCTAGAAGTTTCCTTTGGTGCTTCAGTAACTGTGAAACGTGGCGGTGGAGGTGGCTCCACTGAATCTATGTCTGTACTACGGTTCAACATGTCCAAAGCTTTACGAAATGCATCGCGAACCGCCGGTTCTTTCAAAACTTCCTCTGGGAACATTTTCTGTAAAATGTTTTAATTTAGTAAATTTTCTCAGAACAAATTCTTATATAATTAATATATCAACAAAAACATGGGCAATACCTCAAAGATAATATCTGAACACATTTTCATTCATTGAATTGCTAAGCCTATTTTTTTTAATGGACGAATCCGACTTGATAGTTTTATTTCGTCAACAAATATTATTGGACTTTTTTCTATGAGATTCATCGAAATTTACTTTACTTTCTAATAGTCAATAACTTAATTTATCTACTGTATTTATATTACACCTATATACAATATATATCTCCGAAAATGGTGTAAAATATTCGTAATTCATTTTCTATAAACATAATTCCATTAGGTTTCTATAACTAACTAACAGAATACCATGATATATTGTTTTATACAACAATAAGGTAAATTTATGTACCTTGAAATCTGTATATGATGTAAGGACAGTGGCGTGAGGTGGGTTTGTATTCAGCCAAGCAGCCAATGCTGCCAACCATCGTGGCAACAACGCACGTGACGCTATCGCGGCCAGAGTTGGCGCGCCAAGCAATTCCAGCCAGTCAACACACCAGAGCCACGCGGCTATAAAAAGAAATTTATAATATTCTAATGACCTCTTCTGATGACAGAAATAATTTTAAATCTAGTATCAATGAGGAAGTATTTTAAAAAAACGAAAGCACTAAAAAGCACCTCCACTAGATGGCGACTCTAGCAAAAGTTGATTTGCAGGAAACGAATGGACCAAAGATAGTCATTTCCATTCCTTTTAATTTATTGAGTTTTGAAAACAAATTTACTTATAAACATGAAAGAAAACCGGAAAGGTTGTCATGGAGAAATCAAGAACGTACCGTAGCGACATCTAGTTTGTTTTTGGGAACTAATGTTTATTTTAAATACTTCCTCATTCTCAAAGCGGCAATTTAACCCAAGTAACTATAGGATCGTTTAGTTCGTAGATATGATAAAAAATGTAGTCGCTCACAAGAATAGAACTTTGAAACACACTCTAGAAGATGATGATGATGATAAACATAATAACACACAAACACCTATATCATAGATTGGTTGATAATTTTATTTTATAAATAAATAGTCTATTAACATCTGAGAAATAATGTAGAAGTAACAGCATATCTGCGATTAATAGTTTAAGAGATACGGTGCTATATTTATCCCTATAAATTCAAGTCACTTAGTGACGTCACACAGTGCTACTGTAGCGTAAAACGTATGGGCATATAACGCATGATCAATCTTTATAATATCTCTATTATTTGTACATTTATGATTATAGTTGTCATGATAAAAATTGTTACGTTTTATGTAACTATATTAATGCTATATGTATTTTAGCAAATGTTTATATTATATTTTCCCTACTCTTAATGAAAAATGCTTAAAAATCCACTTGGTCCCTGCCAACCTCAGATGGGATTTTGACTTTTCGCTATGTGAACGCAAAATTGATCAAATTTAAATTTTCCCTGCCTTTTTCAAATAGTCAAAGTGTAATAATATTTTTCAAATAAGTGCCAAAAACATTTATTTTGTTAAATCCACCACCAGCCCTTTTACGTCCCCACTGCAGGGGCTCAGGCCTTCCTTATGGATGGTTAAGGAGGATGGGCCATGACCCAATGCGGATTGGAGGGTAGTTAAATATTTATAAGTTAAAATTGTTCATATTTCCCGAAAATATAACAGAAACCTGTATTTTCACTTGTAGATCACAATCTCGGATACACAACATAGATTGATGAACGCTGGTGAACTGGCTAACATAAACAGATAATACATTTTTGCTTACCAATCTCAGATCCCAATCTGAGAATCACTCAAATTACACTATCGTAGAATATTCACAGCGCCATTTAGCGTTAAGTTACATATACGCAATTTTACACTAATAAACCTTCAAATTTATAAAGCAGCTGTGAAATTAGATTTATTTCGATTTAAACAAAACCACGTAATGTATAAGCATTTGAAAGTAGGTTCAAACGCGTTCCATTTTTTATGTTAGACTTTAAAATATGGCATTACTAAACGTAGGACCGTTCCTAAACTAAACGTAGAATCTCTTGTCGCATATTATTGAACCCCTCTACCCCTTTAAATACACATTTGTTGATTACAAAAACCAAAACGCGGGTGGCCAAAACGGAGCATCATGTTTCATCACATTTTAATTAACTAAACGTCAACGTTTTTGTTACGAGTGCAGTACGCGTGTTTATCGGAATGTGACGTCACTACACAAATGTCACGGCACTGATCCTGTTCGTGGGAAATTAAAAATTTATGAATTTAATGACACTTTTTGGTGAAAACTAAAACTAAATCTGATAGTGGTTTAATATAATCTTATGAAAGTTTTAAATTACTGTTCTCAAACCAGTCAAGTAGACAATTTGGTCATGATGGCCAGATGGAAAAACTGGCGACTGGAGAAGCCCTATACCCAGCAGTGTGTGGATGTAGTTTGAAGGAGTACATACCGTTGCCACTTCCCACCAGATCTAAAGCGCCGTGTTGCAGACAGTGGTCTAACTTGGGTACTATATGCTGATGAAGCATGGCGGTGAGGGCGGAGCCCCAAGCGTGCCTCCACGCCGCCAGCAGAGTCCGAGCGGAAGGGTCCGCGGGGTGCCACGCCCCCAGTGCAGTGGCCAAACGAGACCTGATCGCCGGATATGTGCCGCGGGCTAGCGCTTCCCCTGAAAACGAAAAGCAATCAATAACGGTGTAAATTTAAAACGTAACTTATATTTTTAATATTATGACATTGTTATGGATGGAAGGCAGTAATGCTAAATAATTTTCCTCTCACTTTCTTATATAATTACTAAATGATTTATTTGAAATGGATAAATAACTGATATTTATTATAATTTTCCCGAAACACTCGCGTGATCTTAAAGGTTCCCTGATCCTTTTGACGGACTTAAAAATCCAGATGTTTTATGTATATTGCAGCGGCTGAGCATCGCCGGTGGGGTCCCACTTGTTGACGGTGTCTAGTATCTCGGCAGTACATTAGTCGCCGACTGCTAGCGGTGTTTACCTGCTATGTCGTGCCACGGCAGCATCTACTGGTGCAGCGGCTGAGTATCGCCGGTGGGGTTCCACTTGTTGACGGCGTCCAGTATCTCGGCAGTACATTACTCGCCGACTGCTGGCGGTGTTTACCTGCTATGTCGTGCCACGGCAACACCCACTGGTGCAGCGGCTGAGTATCGCCGGTGGGGTCCCACTTATTGACGGCGTCCAGTATCTCGGCAGTACATTACTCGCCGACTACTGGCGGTGTTTACCTGCTATGTCGTGCCACGGCAGCACCCACTGGTGCAGCGGCTGAGTATCGCCGGTGGGGTCCCACTTGTTGACGGCGTCCAGTATCTCGGCAGTACATTAGTCGCCGACTGCTAGCGGTGTTTACCTGCTATTTCGTGCCACGGCAGCACCCACTGGTGCAGCGGCTGAGTATCGCCGGTGGGGTCCCACTTGTTGACGGCGTCCAGTATCTTGGGCACGACGCACCGGGCGGCGGCGGCGGACACCACCCACTGCGGACACGCCTCGGACCAACTCGTGAGGGCGCGCAACATAGGACCGGGCACGCGAGGATTCCACGACCTGTTTACAACAAACGCATATTTCGTTACCTTCGGCTCTGTCTCCGACTCCTTTATATCTTAATAAGCGTTTTTAAAAATCATCATCATTAGCTGATGTAGATTACCGTAGCAAATAAGCAAACACTAAAAGCTTTCGTCTTTATATTATTAGTTTACATATGAGGACTATTAATTTCGAATTGATATCCTAATATACCATAATGGAATAATAAAATCATATTTCTGAGTAGTGATTTGGCCTAAGTGATGATTCTTTTACTTGTTGTCGTGAAAGTATCTTTATAATTCAATGTTGTACAATTAAACTTGTAATTATATTCTTGTATTAAGAAAAAAAGCAGGGACCCATTAATGCGCATCTCCTTAACTGAGACTAAAACCTGAGCCCCTGCAGTGGGGACGTAAAACGGCTGATGATGATTATTAAGAAAAAGGATTTATAAATATATAAGGCACACATTATAAACAGCCGTAAAACAGGAAATATATGAAAAGAGTAATTAATATTGAGGAATCCACTTACACGCGCAAGGACCATACCATTTAGGTGATTTTGGTTTTTAATTAATTGTTTAATTAAACAGTGAGAGGTGATATGATTAGATGACATTTTAAAGTATGTATTATCATCTATAAATACTTAAAGCAATAGACACTTTAAGGAAAAGTCTTCAATCAAAATCATGAGCTATAACCTAGTTGTTACTCATTCAGATACATATTGATATCAGATCTAGTTTATAATCTCTACTGAGAAGAAGAGGCCTCTAATAAAAACAAAAACAAACTTTATTAAAGCACAATGTTACTCACTCAGCTGCAGTGTTAATATGCGGTACATAGTGTTGCCATAGCAGGCTGCTATAAGCTTCATCAGTCAGCAGTTTCTTCCACTTGAGGAACGTAGGTATGGGTTCTTCAGGATTCTCCAGGGGCTGCCAGGTGGCTAAAAGAGCACTGAGTAGTGGACTCACTATGTTACCAGCTATTGTTCCCAAGCCGAACACTTCATACTCAGCAGGATATGTCTCCTGATAGAAAAATAAAGACAATTAACGTAATTATTTTTTACTTGGACCATGGATTGGACCAAATGTGATCTGGTCATTACGTAGTTATTGCTGATATGCATTTACTGCGAAAGCGGTAGGTCGACAGACATTGTACTATAAACGTCAGTGCATTATTGGCCATCGTGCAAATTAATTGTATCTTTTTTAATTGAATAAACTCTTTTATTTACATGATTGTTCTTTATAGTATTCATTTATTTTGAGAATACGTTTATAATATGAATATGCTTAAAGAAGTTTTTATTGACATATTAAAATAATATACTTTGGCAAATAAAATTATCAATATAAATATCTAAATCAACCAAATATAATAATTTGTAACACAGAATATATATACTACACATAAGCCCTGTTGAAAAAAGAATAAAAAATAAACCTAAAATGCAGTAAATTGTAAACCTTTTAAAAGAACTCTAGGATGCAGACCGAACCAACCTCATTATTTTAAAAATTACGACATGTGGTAACCGGCTATGTTGCTGTGAATCTCAAAAATGAATAAAAATGCTACTGATTGTGACACAAAATATTAGAGCAATAATTTTCTACACACTGGATCCGTTGCGGGCATCAAATAATTTTGATTAAGAATTTCTGTTTAAAATTTCTATATTCAATTTGAAACTTTATTTACGACATTTTATAAGCTTTGAAGTTGGATAACAGTGTGTAATTAATAAGGAATTACTTTTAACTTCACATACCTTCAGATCAGCCAAAACTTCGTGGGCCATTTCCAAAGAAACATCTGGTTCAGCCAATTCTTGTACGCGCCTTATGATCCCTTGCATCTTGCTTATCACCTCGTCCTGCTCTGTCAATTTCGCATCGCACTCCTCCAGTTCCCTCTGCAGAACTACAATTTCATCTTCGGCCGTTTGAAGTTCTCTAGCGTTTTGGATTATATCCTGTTGGGAGAATTATACCAAAGAATGTAATGCAGTTTTTTATATACCCTATTAAGACGCTAAACTTCTACGATTCTATGCGAAGTTGGGTTGGCTGGAATAATACTGCCAACTTTTCACGCACAATGGACCGAAGATTAAAAGTTAAACGTCAACAACAATAACCCTGGAAAAACTGGAAGTCTTACCCTCTTTCTATAGACGAGAGAAGTTATTATAATCGATATGCTTAAGTCATAACTTCATATATCGATGCTGGAATGCAAACACGTAGTAACCCACAAAATCAAAATTGTTTTTCAGAGCAGAAAAACTTTTATATTTTTCAATATTCAATTTATATTTTTGAAAAGTATAAAAATTTTCCTCTCTTAATATCCATTTTGGTTTTGCAGGTTACTACATGTTTGCTTTCCAGCGTCAATATATTTTTATCAAATAAACAAGAATTTGAATGAAATAAGGACTGCTAATATTTAAAATACTATTATTAGCAGCTAATAACAGTTCTCACTTCATTCAAATTCTTGTCTATTCTTTAAAAATATTTGCTTAAATTATAACATTTTCTCATTTCTTTTGTGTCCCCTGCACAACGAGATATTGGCAGAATTTCTGTGTTTAACGGCAAAGGGCCACAAATAAAAAAAAGTGTTACACCCAGTTTCTGAATTGAGAATTTAAAGTTTAGAACATCTCAAATCGTACTTAAACAGGTTTTCGTTTCTGATTTTAATTTTTTTAATGATTAGTTGATAACAGTTTGATAAAACTATCTCTTTTAAATTAATTTTAAAAAAACCAAGTTATTGAGAATAATCAGTTAAGGTTTTGTATCTTTCTCAATTCAGAAACACCCGGCTTCTGAATTGAGAAAAATTATTAGTTTTATTAGTAAATCATATAAACCTGTTCACAACAGTCGACGACTAGCTCCAGATTATGCGCGAGTTGTGGCGCGGCGAAATGTCTACACTCACGTCGGGGCTCGTGCTCGAACCGTGGCGCGGCCGCACGTAGCGCGTGATAGCCGGATAACACGCGCTTCTCACGACCGGTCAAATCTATCACGGGCACCCGGGACAACTCATTGCTGCCAAAAACCACCGTATAATAAAATATTAATGTATATTCATACTCAGTCATCACCCATACACACACCACTCTCTCTCTCTCTCACACACACACACAAACACACACTTTCACACATACATACCACACTGTCGCACACACTACACCCACACACATATGAAATGGAAATGTCTTTATTCCAGTAAGCTTGTTACAAGCACTTTTGAATCATCCAAAAAAATATCTTTTTCAATCTTGCTGCTTCAACATTTGTCTAGTCTAGCAAAAGCTGCAGAACTATTCCTATACTTGACAAGGTATCAATATGAGGATCCCATTGCAGTCTGGAAACTATACTAGTAAAATGCATAGTAAAATGTGAACTCTATATTATATACACAGTAAATTTTTGGTTACCATCCATTTGGGTTGGTAACAGAACCATATATTGCGAAAATTGCTTAATCACTGTATTACTTTCAGAACATGCCTGCAAAATGGAACAGCTCAATTTATCTTTTAGAAACTAAAAAATGATACACTTGCTATATTCTTTTTAGTATATATCTAAAGCACACATTTAGCACATGATAACATACTATGGTTTTTAGAATGATCAAGTTCTTTAGAAATATGTACCTGGATATGGTATGCATTGTCGGTTTTCCCTCTTGTATAACATCTGCAGCATCTCGGTAGAAATAGCGACCCTTGTGTGACTTTTTCCAATTGTAAGTTTTCTCTGTAGTGCCTTTCTCTTTCTCCTCCTTCTCTTTTAAGCGACGCTCTTCTTCTTTCTTAGCTTTTTGCTAAAATTAATATAACTTCTTCAATATAAAATGGGTTTCATATTAAACGGGTTTCATACAAAAGTTTAAAAAAAGGATATATGAATTTAACAAAATCTCAATTTATTTCATTCCATGAAGATACCCAAGTATGTTTTGATGCATAATCTTGTGCAAAAAATAATTCTTATTTTTTTATTTTATTAATTTTAATTTTATTTTCAATTTTAATAATAACACAATAAATAAAAAAGTTCATAAATATTAATAATCAGTCGAAAATATTTTTTGTATGAACACTTACAGCTGCTTTCTCAGGACCATAAGCACCAATAGCTCCTCTTCCTTTTCTCAAAGTAGCTTCCACAGGAGCTGAGATACCCTGGAGGTCTTTACCCAAACCTTTACCAGGTTTATAACCCATCTGTAAACATTTAAGCATTTTAATGACATATTCAACCATATTTTATAAAGTACTCTTTAATGTCACAGTACTTATTTTGAAAAGATAATTATTTCAGATAAGCACACACTATTATACAAACTGCAGTTGATTTTACCCATTACATAATCATAGAGTTCAAAATTGATTGCTGAAATTTGTAATTTAAACTAACTTGATATAATGTGTGCACAGAAATAACTAATAACAAAAATATTATGTTAATAGCACAGTACAGTAGAATATCAAGTTAGTTATAAATTAGATATTGAAAACATAGTTTGCATAAATCACAACATATTTATTATAAGAAAAAAAACTAGCCAAGAATGAATCAGACTCAAGCTTCTAGTGTTTAGCACAAATATTAATCTAAACATTTAAAGATGGTAGTTTTTATTTTACCTGTAAGAGCAACTTAGCACCAATTCCTTTTGTATGTTTTTCCCAGGCACCCACATTGCCTCCTAGGTTAGGAGGCCGCATTCCCTGTCCCATTCGTCTCAACCCTGCTGTCTCTCTCTCGTCTGGGTTAACTGGACTTTCTTCATCAGAACTATCAGCTGCAAATGTTGGTCTTGAAGTTGATGCATCAGATGATTCTATTTCTGTAAAATATATTTTCTTATAACTATTTTAATAAGTTTGAAATTATATAAAAATTAAAATATAAAATTAAAAATTATATAAAGCTCTTCTGTTGTTTTGTATAATGCAACAGTATAAATTTTCTGGTTGTAGATACATATAAAAAAGTATTACTTAATAAAGTTAAACAAGGAACATAGAAAGATGGATATAAGCTTCTGTACTTTTTGCCTGTTTTAAGAAAAGACATAATCTGTAAACCTTTCTTCTGTTCTTTCTTCTTGCCAGCCTGCTGCACCCCACCAGCCACAAAGCCAATGGGAGCAGAGAAGTCTTTCTGTTTTCGAGTTCTCTGCCTAATGTTGTCTTCATTATCTTCCTCATCGCTGTCTTTTGCCCAAACACCTGAAAATTTTTAGGCTTACAATAAATTTGTAAATGCAAATATACTTATACATTCTGTGAGGGTGCAGTGGTTAGCATGTTCAGTATGCAATATGGATGTTATGGTAAATTTCCATGTAGTAAGTAGATTTTTCACTTAATTTTAAGCAATTAAGTATATGTAAACACAAATAGTGGTAAGTAAACATTTTGGCAAATACTTATGTACTTAATTAAATTTTAAATTATAATATATGTACTTATTACTTACCTACTTAATTACATGTAAACCAGCCATTAAGCAACTTGTGCAAAGTCCAATCATAAGATGAGTGACCAAATGTATACCTATCTAGACTTCTTTCATATTTAAATTTAAATATATGTATATAACTCAAAGGTGACTGACTGACTTAGTGATCTATCAATGCACATCCCAAACCACTGGACGGACCAGGCTGAAATTTGGCATGCAGGTAGATGTTATGCCATAGGCATCTGCTAAGAAAGTATTTTGATCAATTCTACCCCCAAGGGGATAAAATAGGGGAAAAACGTTTGTATGAAACTTTGTTAATTTTAAACCGATCGGGCTAAGATTTGGCATGCATAAAGCTACTATGACATAGGCATTCCCTAAGAAAGGATTTTGATAAATTCTACCCCTAAGGAGATAAAATGGGGGATGAAACTTTATTCAGGTATTTCATATAATTAATAAATATTTGTTAGAAATGCTGCTCAAAGTAACTTTACCACGTGGACGAAGTCATGGGCAAAAGTTAGTACGTTATATATATTGTTAATACTTACTAATCCATTAATTTAAATTAATTAATTACTAATACCACGGTTTAATTCCATCCAAAAAAAGTACTATGCTCATATCAGTATTATATTAGGAACATTAATATATTAGGCTGATAATGATGATAATACATACCGTAAATTTGTTGTTCCTTTTTTGCTTTTCTACCTCTGTTGGGATTAAATTCATTGTCTAAATCATAGTCTGTAATTTCAAAACGTATAACCTCGTCATCGGACATTATATTATATTCAGCTTTGATGAAACTATCAAATATTTATAGTTGTATTCGTCCTACGTATTTCATAATATTTTTTCTCACTTGTTTGGTTTTCATCAATTTGATTTTGTTTTCAATACTACTCTTTGGCATATCCAAACCGAACACCGTAGCCGAACACATTTAGGCGCATTTAGGGCACAGACTTAGTAAGTATCAGACTTTTTGTCTATGGTATCAGTCGACCAATACTTTATGTCTATGACCAATACCGACAACCGATTTATTTTTACACCCATTTCAGGGTAGGCAAAGAACTTTCATCCATACAGCCACGTCATATTTGAAGTCTTTTGATTTTCTTTTAGATGCAGGATAAAACCAGGTCTTAAGTTAAATATCTTGGAGGGTGAAAAAATTGCTTTGTAGAACGTGATTGGGAGCCAGTGATATATGACAACTTCATTAGTTTTAATTATTATGGATCTACTATCGGCAAAGGCATTATATATCGCTAATGACATCTAGATTGTCGATCGCGAATAACCTCATCGCTAGTGGCGTACCGCGGAACTATATAATGTTTATATGTTTCAATAAATATCTGGGATTATTAGCATTAGACCGATATTGTTCCATTTCAGAACGTGGTTCCTGGAAGTGGAACGGCCGGAACTACCTTGTCTAGTGAAGGTTTTCTGGTTACTGTAAATGGTCTGTAAAATGTTGGATGACATTGACAGATTTATTATTGACTGATGAAAAATAAAAGATAACAATCAGATTTTTACGAAAAAACTAACACTGAATGGCATCAAGAGAAAATAATTAATATATCTGTGAAAATTATTGAAATATTTCGTCAGAAGATGTACAGTCGTTTACTTTTCAGGTTCTTTCTTATTGTCCTACTAAAAATAGTTTCTTCATTACCATGACAGCATTTTTATAGGCTAAAGTTTGCCCAAAATGTTTCAGGTTTCCCTAAATTATTATAAATACTGCAAAGAGAACTCTTCGATTTGCAAATAAAAATGTTCAGCAGATTTTCAGATGTGTTGCAAACTGCAGCAGATGTTGTAAGTATGAAGTACCTATTGAAAGGTGGGTAAGTTATGGACGTTATGATTCAATAAACTAATTTAATTTCAGTTGGCACCACCACCTACAAGGCTGGAAGATTTTGAATATCATTGGAAGATGATTCTTAATTATTATCAGAACTATGATGATAGCAATAAAATTCATATTGAAGATACACGAATTCCTCATCATTTGCATCAAATGCTCCAGGTTTACTTTATCACATACTTGTTCTAGTGATTCTAAAGATGTGATGTTATCACATCACATTAGTTGCTCTTTCATAAGTTTTAATTAGTATGTAAATGTTAACACGCTGCTCTGAAGAGATACCATTACTGCAAGACCTGCACTACATTATTTGATTCGCATATTAGACAGAACTCTCACAGTATTTAGTATATTATTTACTTAGGGGCCGTCCATTAATATCATGTTAGGCTTGAAGGGAGATATGTCAAAAATATTGAAATATCACAAGGGGGGTTGGAGGGTGTAGTAATATATCATGTGTATTTTTTCCTCAACGTGCGATTATTAAACGGAAAGAGATGTCAAAAATAAAGATTTTTTGTTTTCTTTTTTAACTACACGTGATTTGGTCGAAAGAGGGAGAGGGTAGTCTTAAACCTCACATCACATGATTAATGGACGGCCCCTTAGGTAATTGTATAATGAATATAATATTATTTTCTGCCTTCCTTCTTTATTTTTGTTTTTTATATTTCTCTCTGTGCTCATGTAGATTATGAAAGTGCCAACACACAATCAGCAAAACATAATTACTTTTCCAATTATACTTTGATAATACATTATATCCATAACACAAGCAAATAGTTTCTAATCAATTTTTGTTTGTAACAATTGTTGTGGTATTTTTAATTTGATGGCATTATTCTGTTAATGATTACTCAATGGAAAGTATGTTTAGTAACAAAATACAATAGTGGATATTGCTTTATGTAAGCGTCAAGGTCAATTGATAGAGTATCATGCTAAGGCTCAATTTACACTGTCATAAATGGAATGGAAGTGACTTTTTGTACATGGCATAACAAATTTTACTTTCAAGCTCCTATTTAATTTGTATGTTATACAATTAACATAAAGTTCCATTATGCTATAAGTAATATTGTTGCAAAAAACTGTTGTTATTCCATAAAGGCTGTTGTTTGTTTTTTAACTCCTTTTAAATTAGATTGCTCATAATTCTACAAAGGAAGTAAGCATTATCAAAATGTGGTTAAACAATTGAATGGTTTCCTACTGTTATTTCAAATAATACTCTGTCTTTAATTGACAATTAAGTAATTGTTTGCAGGAAATAAGTTCTTAAGACAATAATTGTTTAAAAAATATTCAACAGGGCTGACGAAATTATACATTTTTTAATTGTAAATTAATTAAAATTGGCAGATTTCATTTTGCTGGTAGCAATACATGTAATTGAGTAAAATAAAATATAATAATAATCTCAAATAAAGTATTAAAATTCAAAGTATGTGAAAATAGTTTTGAAGTAGCAGTCATGGATGTTCTAATTTGTTACACCATTATTTATTTTTTAATAATCAAAATCAATCATTTTCTCTGCCCCATATGCTAGATGCTAGGTGTGAATATCTATAAAAATTTAAAATTAATTAATTTATATTGTCTCTGGTTTGCTTTTACAATAAGTCCCTTAAATTGCTAATACTCTGGAAACTTGTATAAATAACAACTGCATAGTGTCATATGAGTAAATAAAGTATAGATAGCACAAAAGGGGAGAGATGAATTGTTTATTAAATATTGAAATGTAGAATAATCTCCAGAATATTTATATAATAATTTAATAACTTTTAGTTTTGCAATAAATTTATCAAAAGAATCAATAAATATGTAAAAATTGTATATTGAAAATAATAAAAAATATGAAAAAAAAAAATTTACTTTGTAATAAAATAGCGGAAAGGACATTTTTTAAAACATAACCAAAAGTAATAATAAAATGGGAGACTTTAGATATATTAATTATTAGTGAAATTATGTTTTCTTATTGTGAAAATCATTAAAGCAGTTGTTATTTTGCTCAACCATAACAAGTAATAACAAAACTTAACAATAACAATTGAAATCAAGAAAAACATAACAAAATTTATGTGTTAACACAATCTAACTTGATAAGTATTCTCGTCAACTAGTGTTTATTTGTTAACAGTTTATATTATAGGACTATCATTTTCATAACACAAGAGCATTACTTATTAGGATTTATTTACTGTACTTTGTAAATAAATAATTAAATATTATTATATAGGTTGTTACTTTTCTTAACATTTATTTCAGTTGATTGTGGATGAAGAAAAAGAGCAGCAAGGCGGCACAGTAGGGCCATGCCTTGAAGCAGTAGTGCAGCGCAAAATATGTGTACTTGATGCATTAACTGCGCTTGCAGCTACTGATCGCCCACCTGGTGCAAGAGCATTGGCTCTTACTACTGGTACTGCCCTTTTAAGGCGGACACGACAGCCATGTGTAAACAGTGTTCATGTTTATAAACCTCTGCAGGTACTTCATACTTATATTATGTTTTTGCATTAGTTTTGCATTTTTGTATTGTTTTTTATTCATATTAGTAATAGGGATGATGACTAGTTTTTGTTTGTCTGTAGTTTATTAAAGAATATTAAATACGTATTTTCTGCGTAATCAATAAATTACTGTTTTACATTGACTTGAAATGTCGCATGATGTATCTATCACCTTTGTAACATACAAAGGTGTGACGTTCCACATAGTTGTGACGTACCGTTTAATTTTTTATGCAAGGGATATGCAATTCTTATTATATTGAAGCGAAATAAATACCTATGTAATACTTTCCTATTATGTAATGGATTAAATAAAATTTATTTTTTTACCCAGGCATCATCCCTATTTTCCCTTTAGAAGTATGAATTTAAACATAAAAATATCATAAAAAATCTATTATTTTAGAGAATGCTTATCCAGTGCAATGAAAATCCTGCCTCACCGACAGAAAAAGAAGAAGTGGAACTCCTTCTTACACTTTGTGGACTAGTGAGAAAAGAGCCAGGCTTAGCTAATATATTTACAACACCTTTTGTTGAAGACAAAAACAGCTTGCTTAGCATACCCGATGATATACAGAAGTTAATACCTATAAAATCCAAAGTTCAAACACCGAAGAAGAATCCGCTATTTGAAGTGGAATTACCATCGAATCCTTTAACAAATATATCTATAGTAAGATCAAACGGTAGAGAAGATTGTTCTAGTGGTTCTATAGCAGATGATGCTTCTAATAGAAGTCAAAAGACAGTTTATGATGATAATGATAAATTCTTGTTGATCGATTTATTATTATCTTATTTAGATAGTGCTGTGAGTATATTTGATTCATGCAAATGTCATACTAAAATCTGTTTAAAGGGCAAGTGAAGAAACAGCAGATTTCTAAGGATAGTAATATAGTTTGCTTTGAATGCTCACATAATACTTTGTGTTATTGTCACTTTTTTCACCTGCCCTATGAATATAGAATGACATTGAATCTATTAATTTGCATACACAATGGCTATCTGTAATACACCCTGACAAATACAAAAATAAATTATAGCTCCCGTTTTTAATGAGTTGTTACATAATTCATACTCATGTGTGTTACAGTGAAAAAGGATTTAAAAGTTAGGGGAAGTCCGGTAGACTTGAACCTCTTTTTACTTGAATTATCATATCTTCATATAGATTTGTCGTAGAGACTAGATTATAATTTAAATTCATGTGTAATTTATATAGACTTGTTTTTGAATCATTACTTTTTAAATATTTCAATACTGTAAATTGCTAAGCCGATTTGAAGTAAAAATGGGAAATGGATCAACTCTCCCCACTATGAGGGACATATGATCAAAAGTCTGAGGAAACTCATTATCAGGGGTTTTAGTAATTTCTGTTTATTTTTTTTAGTATCATCTTTCTATTAGAGTCTTTTGCGTAGTTTTGCTTTCATATATTTATTATTTGGAATTGATACTTATCGTTATTTTATTTACTTGTTTTATTAACATTTATAATATTGAATTGAGTGCAAGTAGTATTATGGCAGAAGAATCATCATCACAGAAGGTATAATTAACCACTGATGTCTTCAACAAGGACAGTGGTTCAACTCTCCCGCATACATCAATTCGACATAAAATTTTCATTGCAGAAAAGGTATTTAATTACTGTTAAAAAAAATTAACATAATTCAAACTAGAATAATCAGCAAACACGATAAAAATAATTTATAATACTTACATCGATAAACACGGCCAGTATCTCAAAACTACTAATTATTTTGTAGTGACCAAAACACTTTTCGCAACTTAAAAGCTAAACAAACCAGGCATTTTGTGCAATAGTGACACATACATTTATATTTTAATATTTATTTATGTTTATGTAATTGTATATAAATTCATCTAAAGTGTAGTTTAAGTAGTATATTTATAAGTTAACTTTATGCCGCCATCGTGTATTTCTGTATCCCAAAGGTTGACTGGTAGAGAATGCTAATAGCATTAAGTCCGCCTCTTGTACCAATTTAATGTACAATAAAGTTTGTTAAATAAATAAATAAACATTATTGGTCTTCCATACATGATCTACGAATGTGTTAAATGTTTCATTAGCTTGCAATTTACGTTGAATTTGAGAAGTGGTTCAACTCTCCCATCTGGTCAAGTCTCCCGGAGTCCTCCTACTGTTCCTCTATTGATTACGTTATATTTTATTAACTACCTACCCTTCATAATATGGGGTGAGTTTAAAAAATAAGCCCCGTCCTTTCGAAACTCTTGATCAATGGACGATCCCTTAAATATTAATTTATACTGTCCTGTGTTGTTTCAAATCCATGAAGAAATACCTCTGCTATTTTTTTAATCAGATCAAGTAATTGTCACGATCTTCAGTGCATCTATTTAATTTTAGGACAATCAAGTGGTCCTTCGGGCGTGCGAGGGCATAATGATAGTGTCTTCATTGCCCGAGGACGACATTGCCGGTCTGGTAACGAGTTGTAGTCCGGCGTGTGAAACGTTAGTGGACAAGTTGGCGGCTAAATACCGATGCGTGCCCGCCGGCACTGAACCCGTTGATGTCGACAGGCTGAATATTACTTGGGCGTGAGTGACACTTTTAAATCTTGGAAATTAAGTTGTTATGCTTCACAGCGGGCTTTTCCGCAACTTCCTCGGTGTCTATTTTGTGTGAAACAGGGTTGCGTCAGTCTTTGCCGAATTAGGTATTTTGGTCAAGTGGCCCCTTTTTCAATGACCTCTAAAGTTCTTTATTTTAAATGTAAATAAAAAAATCCTAACTCTTTTTTTTCAACTATAAGAAATACATACCATACCAAGTTTGAATTTTTCCGGTTGGACAAGTGAATAAACTTGACAACAGTTCTCATCCTTTAATAAATAGAAATCAGAAATTATCAAGTAGAACTGTTCCACAAAAGGTAAAAAATGAATATTTAGATTTCAGCCTAAGCTTGACCCACTTTGAGATAACCTCCAAAATTTTAACTAGCTCATATTCTTTACTAATCGTGATAGTGTGGGTAGTTGCACTCCCACGTATACAAAGCCTTAGCTGACGGCCATATTGTTCGCTAGTACACTTTACGTATTTATTTCAGAAATTAATACGAGTAATATCGTTTTCAGGTATGTAGCCCAAGATTATGGTGATAAAGCATTCAATAAATTCCATGGCTATAGAGAATTGACAAGTTTTTTCTCATGGCTAGACTATTGTGATACTCTAATGAAGGTAATACAAATATTTACCATTTTTAATCTTAAAGTAAATACATATCTCATCACCATCCATATGTTTCCAATCTATTAAGTCTATTAATGTTTCCACTGCATAGGCACAAGCTTTTCCTATGGATGGAGCTACATAGGGAGAAGTGGCCATAAACCATTAGACGGGTCCAGTGGTGGGTGTTGATGTTTGCAGATGCAGCCGGGGCCAACGGTTTAACGTACCATCCGAAACACGGTGAAATTCGAGATCATTAATTTCTGATCACCCATCCTATAACTGGCCCTTGAGGAAGTTGTTTTACTTTCACTCGCAGATCGTAGACCCAACTGCGAAATGAATACCCTCCGATACATATCTAAAATATCGTAATACCCTCTTTATTTTTAGTACATTGTAAAAAATCCAGTATATATTTTTCTTTCTTATTCCAAAACTATATTATATTATTTAAATTTTGAAATAGTTTACCTACTCTTATATTAATGGTAATCATATGATTGATCAATTCACCTCATTCTTTCTCAGATACTATTGTTTCCTTTTTGTCATTAGGAATGTCATCCAACTATAGCAACCCATCTTTCCCGAACTTTCCGTCAGAACTTTCTAGAAGGTACCGTTGAAGTTGGTGTGAGTGACTTCCACCATGCAGCATTAGTGACAGCAATCCTTGCTAAATGTTTAAAAGTTATCGATTCGCCTGAGCTCATCAATGGTGAGTATTAAAATAGAATTTATTGATTATATTGTTAAAACAATACTAGTCTCCACTTTGTTCAAATAAAATTGAAAATTATATTTTTGTTCATTCAAAAATGGACTTAATGTGTATCCTATTTAGTACTACAGGTTTTAAAACAGTAAATACTCCAGTTCAGCTGAGAACTAAATTCAGTTTCTTTATTCAATCTTTGAATACATAAGAAGATTTTTATTAACGATTATATGCTATAAATATATTAGAATTCTCCAATTGGCTGGTGGGCGACGGCGAAGTATCGGAATGGCCACTCTTACATACGCTCATCAGCAACTGTCTCACAGATGACTACGACATCACCTTAGAAACACTGCAATTTTTCCAGGTACTTAAATATGTATCCTATACTTTGGCACATAAAAGCTTATCCTGGGTTTTTTCAGAATTAAGATTGCTGTAAGAATGTACCTATAGGCTTAATTTAAATGAAAAAATTCAGTCAATCAAAAAATTTATTTACATCAAAGAAAACTCAAAAAATGGTAACCAAAGCCCGTTTAAAAAATGCTATTAAAAAAAAAGAAGTATTTTAAAGCATTTATCAAAAAACTTATGCATTCTGATCGTAGTAATACCATAAAAATATTTATTTTAAATGCTGTGTTTTTTTGACTTTCGTTTGCCAAAACATAATAACTTTGATCCATGATTATAAATTTTCGATTAAAAACGAGACTAGGAACACTTGTTATAAATATTGAGACCTAATAACGATTTATAAACTTATTACCTAAGTACTAAGTCTGTAAATCGTTTAAAAACATAAGAGATAACATAATTTTAATGTTAAAAAATATGTTTTTTGTGGGCTCATGACCATTAGACTCGAACAACCCAGATCTTCACTAACATGTTCTCCCTTGATAATTTACGGGCTAAAATATTAAATACTGCAATATATTTTTCTCTATAGACAATAATAGAGAAAGGAACGGAGCATAGTATACATAGACTAGTGCTGACACGCGTCTGTTCCCGCGGATACTACTCCCAGCAACCACCTTTCGAGGACGATGACAGGGACAGACTGAACGACGTTTCGCTGTGGAGAGAGCGAGAGAGAAACAGGTACGACGCTTTTAACGTTTGACAAGAGTTTAATAACTAGTTTAAAAATAATTGTGTATATAAAGGTAAATTCCTATTAATAAAAAGGGCATCAAAAGCGTATATAAAATTACTAGCTTTCCGCCAGCGAATTCTCCCGCGTGGTCTTGTATACATAAAAACCTTCCTTTTAAATCACCTTATCCATAAAAAAAACCGCATCAAAATCCGTTGCATATTTTTAAAGATTTAAGCATACACAGCATATACATAGGGACAGTGAAAGCGACTTTGTTTTATACTATGTAGTGATAACACTCCTTGACATTTTTTCCTAAAGTTTGTCAAATAATTTGTTCTAAAATGGCCTACAAAACAATCGAGTACCACGGAGTCTGCAAAAGATCGGTCAGAGTATATTTAACTTCTGCTTCACTGATAAAGTTCTAACGTTTATAAAAATATAAGTCCTTTACGAAAAAAAAGAAAATCTGTTTTTTTCTAAGTATTTTTCTCAGTGCCCCGTTACGTTACAATAAACAACCCCATCGTTTCGTTACTCCAGTACTAGACTTTTTATATCACTTTTTTTATTATATCTGCAGGGAGGCTATGAAGCAATTACAACATGAAGACCATGTGAACGAACAGATCAACGACATACTGTCTCAAGAAGGAATCGATACTCACGACTCGGCTGACAATATACACAGGGTCATCAACAGGTACATATATATTTATGTAATAACTAATTAAACTATGATACATTGCTGTCCGTCTGTCTTTAAGCTGTCTAATATTTGTCAAAAATCTCCTCCACACCCCTGACGTCCCTTTAAAACAAATATCGTTCTATACATGCATAAGGTTTAATCCTCTAAGTTCTGATATGAGTAAAAAGGGCGTGACTTCTTTTGCGTTCACGTGACAACGAGTATAAAATATTTGCTTTTTATAATGAATTTAAGCAATTTTATAAATATACTAAGCATCTTATTAAACACTATCAGAAAAAGAAATGTATTTTTAACTATTACATATTTTAACTGGCGTGTCCCAAACTATTGTATGGCAGTTTGGGCTTACAATTGACTGACTGGAACGACTATTACGTCTGAAAACTATCGGGTAGTATAAGAATAACATTGGCTATCAATTGTATCGGATATTTATAAAAAGTTATCAATCTTTTCTTTTTTTAAATGAAATAATATTCTACATTTACACTATCATCGACCAGTAATAACGTAAATTAAAATTATAGTAGCATCTCCTATATTTAATTATTTACTAAAGAGTATTTCGATAGTTTCAATTGTCCTATCGAAATAGTGACTACATTTCAAAATCAACAAAGAGCAGCGAAGCTTTAGCTATTACAACAACACTGCATGTAACCTAGTAAATGTCTATGTCTATATTTCATTTCAATAATATATGGATTTAGTTCAAGTGTGTTTTCAATCTGTTTCCTATTTAAACCAGAAAAATAAAACTAAATATGTATTTTATTACTTAATATTTTATAAATAACATTAATAATGAATACGGCACAAATAAATAATTAATTGTGACTTTCCAATTAATTGTAATTTTGTAGATTAATTTATATTATTGCTTGGCGCCCTTTATTTTCAATATGTTACTTTCTTTATAAACAAAAATAGAGATATCCGAATATATTATGTTAATTCATAACTAACAATTAACATCTACGTAATAAACTAAATATATATTTTAACATTTCAATGAAAAATTTTGTTAGGTAAAAATAATTATACTTTAACAATTATGTTAATATGTAAGAATGCTTCTTGCGAAGCCTTTGTAACAGAATCAGTACTGATTAATTAAAAATTTATTCTTCATACAGAAAACAGACAGCCAATATAAAATTATTTTTATATTAAAGCGGTGGCCTTGACACTAAAAAGCAGGTTTTTAGAGCAACCTTAGTTTGGTCTGAATTAAATAATTAATGTTATATAATAATAAGATGGTACACAAATTAAAAATTATTATAAAATGCAAAGTAGGGATATTAACCAGTATTTTCAGTTATTTATATTTTATTTTACTTATTTTCTAGGCTTCAGGAGCTTAAAACACAAATAGAAGAAATAATGGCAAACGAAACTAACATTCCACCTGATGCAGATTAATCATTAACTATTATTTAGATTAATATCATCCTAACGTCCATAGTGCTATAGTTGCTTTTTAAATAATCAAAATTACATATTTTATCATTTATGTATATAAATAAGCAAAATATAGAGTTATCAGATGTATTAGGAATTAGGTTGCGGGATATAATAATGTCATTTTTGTTATATTTTTAATTAAACAAATACAGATGCAATGTTAGGTTGCATTTGTCATTTATAAAGTACAGAGTAACGGTAAAGTGGCAACTAATCTAATATAAACTTTCAAGCTGATATGAATGGGGTTAGTTTGGTTGGGGTTATGGCGGCTCTCGTTGAATTTATTTCGTTGTTTAAATATTTTGATATTAAAGTTAAAAAGTCACTTTAAGATCCAACTAATATGGAGTAAAAATGCGTTTGCGCAGACCTACTAATGTTGACAATAACCGAAAATCAGTCTTGTTTCATAACTTTAAGGTGTAAAATGACACGCATTAAATGTCTCACTCACACTCAGCGGGTATCAGACGCGTGGGTATTGGATGATTCCTGATGATGTGATATTTGAATCATACTGATTGGCTGACATTTACCGCGCTTCGAAATTTACAAAGATTAAACATATCTTACCTTTTATCAAATCCGTGTTATTCCTATTAATTTTATAATGTTTTGACCACCAAAGTCTTGTTTTTCCCAAATAAATTAAATGGCGCCAATTTGTTTGACGTTTAACTTTCAACCCCCGGTGAAACCCAAATGAGAAATATTTTTCATTGAGTCTCAATATATTGCGTATATATACGTAGAAATAAACATTTTTTTTATTATTATTTAAGTCCGCCTAGATAAATATCCAATGAGATTTTGAGGACGTTATATAATAATATTAACATATTATCAATCAATGTTTCAATTAAGTATAAGTAACATTTGCCATATATCTGTGATAATATCCCAGTTTTTGATAAAAGTAATTTCTTTATTGAATTTTCTTTCGTTAAGTTCACACTTTACAAAAAACATTAACAATATTTATTTCGAAGATTGAACACTTTCTAAAATATTATTTCACTGATATTTTTTGACACGATAATTTAAAACCTCTTTTAATGCTGTAAAAACGTAGTTGTACAAAAAATATTTTTATATGTGATATTTTAATTATGTGAAGTCATGATTATAATAAATAGTTCGAAGACAGATGTTACTACTATAGCCACTAGAATACATCAAAGCGAATAAGTTAAAATACGTCATGTCATAAATATAATTTTATCGTAAAGTTGTAGTAACAAAATCACTTGTAAATATTATTTTGTTACTTATTATTGACTATTTTTAATACTACTCGTTCGAATTAACATGACAACCGAAGGTCTATTCTATTTCTCTGAAAACGAAATTTAATGTTTATTTGAAATGCTAATATGACTCCAAAGAAATGCATTTCTCTATAATTTATGATACAAAGGAGGTACCTTGCCCAGGTCACAATTAAATTAAATGAAGATCACGTGATAAAAACAATCGGATTAAGTATACTTATGTATGACTTCGCTCGTTCACAAACATTCACAACATAGAATTATTTTTTTGTTACACTGTATTTGTATTAAGGAATGTGTGACGTCACAATGCTCATGTCACAAGTATTGATGGTTTGAGTTAACTTTCGAACGGGATTAGAAATGTCTTCTATTTTTATTTTGGCCTTTAAAGATTTATTTTTATTGGTGTCCGCATATTATCACTAAAACCAGTCTTGGAGCTCACGACCTATCTTCTTCGCTTTGGTGTATCGTTATTTATTAAGCTGTTTTTGTAAATATAATGTTGTAAGTTTGTAACATATCAATGTACTATAGTGAACATTAAATGTATTGTGATAAAGCTGTAGTTTGATTGGCCCCGTTGTTCGCAGCTTCCTGCTGCTGTTGCCGCGCGCTATTCTATCGGACCCTGTTGGTGCGGACTATGAGCACTATATACATGACGCTCATAGACATTACCAGGTAAATATAAGTGGCAGTTGTCTGTAATAACCGCACTAAATGTAATTTAATGTATCTTATGACACAATAAACAGTAATAATCGACTACACAATTACATTTAAATAGTAAATTAGGCGCTAGTATTTGGGGGGCAGCAAAGCATAATCTGTTTTGCTCTAATTATCTACCATACAGTAACTTAAAAAACGATTACTTTGTTCTTGGAACTTCCATGTCTGCGTTATTAAAAAATACGAAGTTTTCAGACCATCAGTATCTACAGCTTCTTTTGTCATTGGCCAAAAATACATTCATTCTTTAATCGGTGTACGCACATTAAATACAAGAAAATTCATAATATATATAATAAAATCGTGACAATCATTATAACGCACCTATGCTGAAAAAAAACCTGTTAACTGACATTTTTTTTAAATGAGTAAAATATAACAATCCATCCATTTCCTTTTTGTAAAAATTTACAGATAACTGGTTTTACCAGTACCTATAGGTGCGTTGTCTATATTTAGTGAGAATCATCTAATGAAAACAACTCATATATGTGTATGTATATAAAATATCTGTAATTGTTATTATTAATAGTAAGCCCGAGTAATTGTTTTTATCAATTGTAAGAATTGATTCTATCAATTTAAATTACGATAGGTATTATTTAAACCAAAAAAATTCAACAAATTTGAAAATTTACTTGTTTGAATTCTTACGAAAAAAGTTACGTAAGTTTATTTAAAATAGTATGATATCAGATATTTTTAACAAGTTTTTTATTATAAAAATAATGTAATCTTTTTCATATAAAAAACAATTGACACTTGAGTTATTTGTATAAAAGAAATCGTATGTACTTTGCAGCTATGGTTAGACATTACCTCTACGTTTAATTGGCCGGAACACAATTGGGTGGATACCACAGCCAGCTCTACACATAGCTACGACAGCAGACCAGAAGCAGATATACATTTAGATGACGTCTTAGATACAATCAAATCGGATCCGAGACGAGTAGAGAAAAATTATATTTTCTCGCCAGACAAATGCGATTTCTCTCAAAAACTAGTCCAAAGAAATAAAGATGTACTTTCTAATAGCGCCGAAGAGGACTTCGACGAAGGGCCATTCTTCAAAATGCTATTCAAACTACTTTTGAATATGCCAAATCAACCTTACCAAGTGAATTTACACCTTACCGCTATAATATCAAAGTTGGCTTTGATACCGCATGCGAATTTGCACGAGTATCTGTTGAATCCGATGTTGCCGACCGCGAAAAAGACACGGACCCTGTTTAAAGTTTTGCAAGAGCTGGCGAAGAGGTTGACTGTAGAAATACCGAGGATAAGGAATTACAAAAAGGTGATTGAAAATACTAGATTGCAGCTTATGAGCGAAGATCCTGTTTACGATGAAAGGTTTGTATGTTTTGTTTCTTTTGACACATAATAATAACTATCAAAATCATCACTGCCCTATTAATGTCCCCATTGCTGGAGCTCTGTAGGCCAATTCTGCTAATGTTTACGTAATAATCGCATCTCGATAGCATCTCAACTAGTTGCATTTTAGCATCGTATTATCTACATAAATACCAATATTATTAGTTCAATATCTTCCTTACACATCAATAGTGGCTGATATATTATAATATTGGACTTCAGGCAGATCGTACAACGGCAAAATTCAAGTCGTTAAGATTCTATAGAGATGCAATTATTACGTAAACATTCGCAGAATTGACCTTCGGGCCTTCCGTGTGGAAATCGAATCGAATCGAACAGGGAGACCGGATTAACTATAAAATGTTATATTATCGCTTACCCATTAATGTCTTGACTTTAGGGCAGACTTCTTATAAATGTGATACGATAACATAGGAAGAAAATATCATAAACAACTACTCGTTCTCAGTGTGGAGTTTTAACGACTGCATTCGAATTCAATAGCCTTTCGAAGCACGAAAGAGCTCGTGATAAAATGTTGATCACCCATATAATGACCGGCCTTTGAAAAAGTTGCTCACAGACCGAACGCGCTAAACGTTTCGCTATCTAGTTTAACTTATTAATTTTCCCATTGCGCGTACACTGACCTTCCCTATTGATGAAACACATGAAGAACAAGCCATAACTGCGTGGTGACGCGGGCTCAGTGCGGATTGGTGGATGTTAACGACTGCAAAAGATAATAATCGCATCTCAATAGAACCTCGATGACTTGCATATTACCATTGTACTATTTAAAGTCCAATATTATTAGTTTGTACTACCTAAAGTCCAATGTTATTAGTGCATTGTCTTCCTCACACATCAATGGTGACAGATATATAATATTAGACTTCAAGTAGATAGTACATTGGTAATTTGCAAGTAGTTAAGATTCTATTGAGTGCCACATTGATTAGAAAAATTGGCCTACGGAATCCAATGGCTTACCGTTCTTTCCAAAGCACGGGTGTGCTCGTACTTAATAAATTTAAACAAACGCATCGGATCTTTCCGCTAAATGACTTTATAAGCGGTTTTTTGTGAGGAGAATAAAATAAAATAAATTATTAAATTATTAATTAAATTAAATATTATTGTGACAAAACTTGAAATGTGAACGAAATCAGATTAATTTAAAGTAAACATTGGTGAAAATTCGCTCACAGTAGCGAAAAGTATTAAGTGCTTGAAAAATTCGTCAGTTTCAGTCTCGTTTAGTTCAATGCTTAAGTCGGCCTTTGTGAAAAGTTGTGGGTTCGAATTCCATCTGGGAGAACCAGAGGCTGGTGGATTGTTAAAGCATTATTCATTAGATATAATTTTCTAAGTTTAGAAGTTTGTGTTTTTATAGTGGGGAACATAATCAATTGGTCGAGAGCCTTATAGTCCTGGAGGAGTTCTGCAAGGAGCTCGCTGCGATCGCTTTCGTCAAATATCAGCACGCGTTGCACATGCAAAGATAATAACATGATATTGCTATAGATTATGGGCCTTATTTCGCACAGAAATTGTATTAAAATCGTTCATGTTTTACAATGATTCGTAAAAAGTATTTGGAAACCTCATCTCACTGGTGAAATTATAGAAAGGAATTTATAAAATAAGTATTTATTTTTTAATTTTTATGTGTCCGTTAGTGTAGCAGCGCCACTCTCTTAAATTTCGAAATAAACTACACTAATTATGTCATAAAATGTCGATTAGTGCATCACGAAATGAAAGCAAATTGATAATAACGTAATCTCAGAGATATTAAAATATTCAAAGTGGCGCTGTGCTGCTGACGTCAGCTCCGTAGCAGTAGATTATCTACGAAATTCGTTACCAAAAATATGAACACAATTTTGCCCTGAAACTCCTCAACATTGTCTTTATAATTACACCTGTTGTAAACTCAGATTTTTCCTCGTGAAACTTACGGTCGTTTTGTATGACACGCTCATCAGTGCCATCGTATTATAAAGCCCTGTATTCATAATAAACATTTGTTGAGTAACTTTTTCTAGTCTAGTAAAAATATTTCAACATGCGGTGATCAATTCTGCAACACAAATTTTTGCTAGCAACTCGGTAACACGTTTCTTAAACTATGTTGATAAGCAGGTGTTTACCATGAATACGGAGCTTTATGATAACAATGGAGGATTGTAGCGGCGTGTAAAAATGTAAGTTTAAAAATTGTCAACACATTTAAATAGACGTTATGTTATGTATTATGTTTAAAATTTAAATATCTATACTCATCTACTGGAAATCGATAAAGTGTGCTTAGAAATGTATGTAAAGCCCGAGTACAAATCAATTGTCTCTCACTTAACAAAACGAACAAACATAGGTCTCAAAACTAAGACGTGTAACGAAGTAAGCGACAGTTATTTGTTATTAAAATTATAATTAAACTCACCATAAATAAATATTTGAAAACAATTGATTTGTACTCGGGCTTTACATACATTTCTAAGCACACTTTATCGAAGGTAAATTTATACTTAGTATCATTAACGTTTAAAGAGGCAAAATAGTTTATAAATCACGTGGCGAGATATTCAACATAACATATGAATATATGTAATAATACAAATTAAAGTCGAATCAGTATTGATGCTTCATTTAGAAATATTTTCCGCTTCATTATTTATATCCCAATAACATATTTACATGTATAGTTATTTGAGGTAAAATATAATACACTCATCAACATGATCAATATATTTAGCCTGTCTCTAATGTAATATGATAATGTCACGTAGGGCAAAAAATGTGATAAATTTGATATTAAAAATGATTATAAAATATAAATATATAGGCATTGCGCTCTGTGTCTATGGTTTTATCCTAATCTTACGGAAGATCCTTTAAACGACTCACAGGTGTATGCATTAGTAAGCGACGGCTCAATCCGTTTAGTATGCAAGGTTGAATGTTATAGGTGTTATGTCTATCTGGCATTAGTTTGTCGTCACTTTCAGACACCATCCATAAACGCACTTAGTATGAAATATGCCAACTATAAATTAATATTTCTTGATTATCGATCCCCCATTCCCTCCCTCTTACATGTGATGTAGTTCATGGATGGCTACAGTCTCTCGAAAGCGTCGAAATTGACATTGTACCTATCATATACAGAGATTTATGTAGTAAGGAAAACGTACCTGTTAAACATCCCTCGGTTAGAACGAGAGATGGTCACGATAACCACCGTCTCTCTCTACCGAGAATGTGTCGGTTTCGGAGATAAACGATTCTCTCTGGCGCTGCTGGGCTGATATCAGACTTGCAAAAACTTTCCAGTGCGCCATAGACTTGTTTAGATTCGAAATTATGTTACTCGGCTATTTGTCCCTATTTCGTAATAGACTGATAAATAAGGGACGAGATGGATCAAGAATTCATTTCAAAACCGAAAAGAGTGGCGCTGTCAGTCTGACACACGTCTACTGACGCATGCATAGTAAATAACTTTAAAGCAACCCTCTCCGCGGTCCCCCCTCCACATCGTGGTTTCCCTTTTCTATCTTTAATCCGTCTATAGTCCGCATGTCTATAAATTCAACGAATCTATTTGTCGCATCGCCAAGGTAAAATGAACCTATTCCTTTTATTCTTGAGGCAACTTATATACTTAATATTGTTTTTATTTATATTGTATTGTAAAAATAACTGGTGTAATCAGGAATAATTTCTGTGAATATTTCATTTACATAAATTGTAACAAAAAATATTTTAGACTGTGTGGCAATAAAGTATTATTATAATGTAGCACCATTATATTAGCATTAAAATATATTTGTGCGTCATACAAATATTTTCCAGATATTATTTTATTGGTGGTATTGTATTACATATTTTTATATCCAGTCAATGATTCTAGTCTTCATTATCGTTACATTATATATTTCATTAAAACATTCCTTTTAAGTTCATGAATGGGAAATATGAGTGTTATTTCTTTTTGAATTTTTGTAGTAGGGGATTTAATGCTAGTATATTATTTTGTTGCGCACAATACAATTATATTAAATTGTTCACTTTATTTTAATTAATTTAACTTATAAACAATGCCTGTTAATAAAATTTTGAAGATTTACTCACTGTTTTATTTTAAGCATTAATATTGACTTTTTAAAGTGTAGGAAATACATAAAAAATAAAACCCAAACACAAAATGCAATGGTGATTATATTTTCTTTTCCAAAATTAAATAATGCATATAAACATGAAATAACCATTTAAACAAAAACTTTAAAACTATGTACAAACATGGAATTCACATCTATAACTTTAACAATTTATATGAAGGCTATTGTTCAAATTATGAAGTAGCTCCATTCATATAATTTTCAGTCATTTGCTAGCCATCCAAGTGAGCTCTTTATCGTTGAATCTACTCGTATATTAGAGCGTGTTATATATTTTTTTCATATACATACACACTTTGTATATTTACTATCGATAAGATTGGATAGTGTCACCTGTGATAGTTCCATCGAAAATATTACTTTCTCAAGTTCGATTACCGGTAGCGAACCTATCGCTAGTGCAACAATACTGCACCAAAGACATTGTAACCTTCATATAAATTGTCAAAATAACATTTCAGTCACATCACAACATACACACGTCTTTCTCTGTATAGATTATCATAATACATATAAACAAATTTATTTATAACTTCAACTGATTATATGAAACTTTACCGTGTTCGTTAACATTACACACATTCATGTGGTTCTATTTTAATATTAAGGAATTCAGTATCTACTATTTCCTTAGACTTAACATGTTAATTTCAGATAATCAGATGAGTTCTTTTATTTACCTACTTGATCATACATTTCATTAAATGTGTTTTTTAAACTAAACGTGGTATTCTATAATTGTACAAATTATATGGAATAGTTAACGAAGGATTGTACTATATTGTTGGTTTTCAATGTTATATTAGACGGACAGCACAGATTGTACTGCTATAGATAAAAAACAGCCAAATTTGATCTTATTATAAATTACAAATTATGTATCAACCTTTGACTTCGATACTTAATCTCCATAGCTAGATCGCCATTTTAATTAGATTATTGATACAAAAAGCAAACTAGCGGTATATTTCATATTTGGACGATTATTATATATCGCCCTTACTTCAGCTATTCACTGATGTATACCTATCGATAGAATATCGATAAGACCATTCATCACAGTGTCGATATTATCGGCAGTTTTAACGATACCTATGAAACTGAATTGCATAAAAATGTTTGGGATTAATTAATCAATATTACACTGCTATAAACTTAATTTAATAATGGTTTAGTACTTCCTTTAGTATTCCTGATATTTAGCACCGAATGCCAGTAATAATTATCAGGAGAATGAATCGAAAGGCATATATAATTTGAGTCTAAATTGATTGCTAATTTTTATATATAAAAGTGTTGGAAAGATTCCTTGAATCAATTAACTTGATTTATTTTTATCAAAAACCACTAGGCACTTTCTACAAAATTCAGATATTTTTAATGATAGCACTTTGAAAGACTGGTCAGAAAATTTTAATTTATGATATTATTTTTAAATAGATAAACATTTCTCTAATATTAGTTAAGACTGTATTTATATCAGTTTTTAATATTAACTTAGAAGGTTGCCGTGATGTGTTAATTGTTTAGATACTTAAGTTTTAAAATAAAATTATATTCATAAGATAAAAAAAAATAAAAATAAAATTTATATAAAACGTCCTGTATGCCTACCTCGCAAAGGAACCAAGTTTAAGATATATACAGATTTACTTCGTTTTATATTTGGGAAATATTATTGAACAATTACTAATATGGAATGGAATGGCTGTTTGACATCACAAAATGATACCAATTTATTAATACTATTATTTTTCAAGAATTTGTTATTTTAATTTTAGAATAGCGACTATTCGTATTTAGATAAACATGAATAATACCTTCAGTAGTAACTATGGGGAACCATATGTTTCAAATGAGAAGACCTCAAATGAGAATGAGAGAAAAATAAAAGAAAACAATCTGACTGTTAAAGGATTGCAACATGATAGCAAGCAATTCAATTTCTCTTCCGTTTCGCATGATGATCGATTCGTAGTAGAAGAATGCTGTCAGAACAGTTGTTAGGAACATCATGTGCTCAACTAGCAGCCGCCATAATATTTTTTCGTAATTGTTTTGAACCCCTGGAAGTGTTTTTTAATTATTTCTTTATTGCGTTAGCTGGCCTTATAACAATTAATGTCTATTGTCTGTAGATGAATAATATTATTATATGATATACTTTAATACTCTTACCTATTATGAAGCTTATACCCGTTACAAATAGTTCTGTTCACGTCCAACAAAAAGGTGAAAAAAATCAAAACACTGTATAACTACACACCGCTTATTGGTAAGGCCTTTAGAATACAAAAGTATGGAGAGCTTAGTTTGCAGTCGCATATTTCAAGAGTGATAAAGGGCAATTACTTATTGTACTATGCAAAAATTCAAAACAACTATATTTTCTACCTAAACCACGATATTTTCAAAGTAAAATAAAATATATTTATAATTTTATTTTGAATTTTTGTAGTTAAATATCCAAGAGTTTATTCCTACACAAAAGATGATAATGGTGACTTTAAGCATACTAATTAGCAAAAATAAAAAATCAACAATCGCATTAAATTCCATGTCCAAGGTTCTGTATATATGAATCGGGGCTAGATCCAGTTTAAATAATTGGAAAAAGTAAAGTCCTAATAGATGCCTTAAACACTTAAACGAGAAATAATTACAAAAATATTGTATTTAAAATAATGTAACTTATAATAATCACAAATATAATATGACGATAATACAGTCAGATTACAATTTTAACGTATAAAATAAATAAATATACATATAACAACAGACCAGCTGTATTCCTACATATTTTTAAAACGAAAACAAAATGACCAGTACTTAGTTTTTTCTAAGGTTAGATAAAGAACATTTACTTTCCAAATTTAGGTACAGTATTTCCCTTCCTTTAGATATGGACAATGTAATGCCCAACTAAATATAAGTAGTTCACAAACGGAATCAAATTAAATATTAGAAACCTGTGTGTAATAACTTCATTATTATTATGTACGTCGGGTAAATTACCTAATATTGACATTGCTAACTATTTTTAACTTCCTTGAAGTTTCCCCCTAATCTTAAGTCACACCTACATGCACTTTTGTAAATAATTAAATTGACAAAGATTTGTTAAATTGAAATTCAATTATACTTCAAATTAGTCGTAACCTTTAACAAATTTACTAAACCAATAAGCAAGGTTTCAGAATGTTACTTTCTTCTATTTTATTGTACACTTAAAGTGTCCACAATTGGGCGTTTTACCTTACTCAATATATATAACGAAATATCGGTTCCTTCAGCTTGTTTACATAGCGATTGTATTGTGGCAGAAATAGTACATTATTTACTATTTAATAATCAGAACTAAAACCATAATCAATTATTTCAAAATACTCTCATGCAAAATCTTAAAATTCCAGAATTGTTATTTTAATTTTCAAATATTCTATTCTACATACATACATATACATACACTTTTTTTACCCATCTCTGTCAGGATCATCGCGGAACTATCACCCTTTATTCATCTGAAAATAAGTGAATAAAAAATGTTATATCCAAAAACGTATAATGCCATCTCATTCTTTTTTTTAAAGTCTTTTAGACCTCATAAGCAGTGGAGGTTCTCAATTAAGACTGAATGTTTTGTGTGTATGTTCCAAGATTAACTCGAATCTAATTAAAAAAATTTAAATAGATTAATTACTGACGAGAAGTCAGTAGTGGATTGATTCAGATTTTTTTTTACTTTTGATATATTCTCGACAGATAATTTTTTATTTTACCTTAAACAGACTTTAAAAAAGTCGAGAAATTATTCTCAATGGCGGTTAAAAATCTCGCCTGAATTCAAATGAAATATATTGAACTTGTAACTCTTTTTGTAGCTTTTAAGAATTATATTTCAATTTTATTTTAAAGCAAGATTTTATTTTTTAATTTATCCAAATAGAAAAAGAAATTAACAATTCGAAGGTTCGTTTTCATTACTTAGGCATGAAAGTTAAAAAATCCTGGTAAATAAATGGTGCTACTCAAAAGACCTGCAAAAATGAAATAGATGTTTTAAAAAATAGTTCAGACCTGCGCACTCATTCACCACCAGGAGAAGAAAGGCGACTTGTGCTGGAATCGCTGCTGGAACGAGTCAAAGAACCGCGATGACGTCGTACCACTTTTGGACCTGGAAATATATAAAAAAAAAATATTATAAAAACTGATTTTATACAGGGTTCGTTAATTACTAATTTAATAATTGGATAATTAACATGATAATTATCACATAATATTCCGATATTTATCCGGTTTTTAATCAAGATAATTATCGTGATAATAAGGAATATGCGTCTGATCCAAAAAAGGGTTAAATATACTTTATTACGATTATTATTGCTTTAAAATAAAGTTTATGTTAATATTTTTCAACATAAGTTCGTTTTCGTCTTAAAATAATTATTAAAAAATGCGGTAACTTCAAAATATTCAAACGTCATGCTACTTGTCAGAGCGGATGTGACGAAAATATACACTTATAGGGATGTCGTTGTTATAAAAAGTTAATATCGATGCAATAACATCAATGTATTCTGTCGCAAAATAAACAACAGATTACAATTTAAATTATGTTTAGGCTTTTATTTTTATTTCATCAATTGGGTAAACTGTATGATTTATTAAAAAATACTTTAAACAATCGCTTAGTTGTTAATCGATTTGGGTAATTGAATATTAATAAATCACTCAAAATCGATATTGATTTAAAACGCCATATCTCTATTCGTGTACTTTGACGTCACGACAAGAGCGCCAAAAATTCCGGTGTTTATTAAATTCCGGTGACTACTCGTAGCTATTACTTATTTGCATCTAATTTTAGTTTTTCGGTGCCGGGTATTTTTTTAATGTTATATATCAATGTAAATTATCATATAAAACCATTTTCCAAAAATATGCATATTCCCTATTATAACGCTAATTAAATTATAATAGGCTAGTTGACAACTTATTTTATTTCATAAATAAATAGTCCATTAACATCAGAGAAATAATGTCGAAGTAACAGCATGTCTGCGATTAATAGTTTCGGAGATACGGTGCTGTGTTTATAGAACTGCTGCTAGTTGGCCGAAAACGCTCGCTACAAATTCAAGGCACTCAGTGACGTCACACGGTGCAACAGTAGCGAAAAATGTATGGGCGTCTGGTCTATTTTTGTAATATCTTTGTTATGTGTGCGTTTATGTTTATAGCTGTCATAATGAAAGTTATAACATTTTTTAAATTTAATTTAATGGCTTATGTATTTTAACAAATTTTTGTAGTAGATTTTCTCTACTTTTTTCATGCATTAAAATTTGTTTTGTAAAACATTTATAAGTTAAAATGGTTAATATTTTTCGAAGATATAACAAAAATCTGTATTTTCACTTGTAGGACACAAGCCTATTATATTGCTAATTAAATTATAATTAGTTACCTCTCGACAATGACGGCGGGCATCTGCACTAGTTGCACGGGACTCTTGCCGTCCTTGAGAGCTTGCGTCAGGTTCAACACCTGCCCGCGCATCACAGACATCTGACGCTCGAATAGACCCTTATCGAAACCTTTGTCTTGCTGCAAACAGAAATATTATATATCACCATAAGCTTATTAATGTTAGAAATATCATCCATAAGGAAGGCCTGAGCCCCTGCAGTGGGGACGTAAAAGGGCTGATGATGATGAACATGGAAAGAACGGACCATATACAGTTAAAACACCATGCAGACTCAGAACGGATTCATGTGTGTTAATGACTGCAAATAAGACAGATGATCAGGTTTCGGCCATTTTAAAATTAAGACCATTTTAAGAGTTACAAAGAAGTAAACACAGTACAGCTGTTAACGGTATGTTTGGATAAAATGCAATATTTGTTTATGCCTTGAAATTGCAAACAACGGTACTTGTAATAGTATTTAGGGTACTCGTGATAGTTTATTTAGTTTTATTGATATCCTTTTTGGCCACCGATCTTATGACTGATCATTGCGACATTGTGGTCAACTAATCTTAGTCGATTCTGTCGCTCTTATAATTGTGTCATCGAGCTTCTTCAAAATTTTTTGAAACATTAATATAAATCGAGAATGAATAACTATATTCGGACACTAATCATTCAGTCATAAAATATGCTGCTGTATTACAAATAAATAAAAAAAAAATCTTTAAGGGTTATGATTTGACGTTTACTAAGGAAATTGATTCACAGTTATGAGGCTGTTTACGGTTTTTTGATAACCCATTTTTAAACTATAATAAAGTTATTCTTAATGATAAATGCTTAAAAACCTATGACCCATCTTAGAGTGCCAGGGACAAAGAGGAATTATTAAACATTTTTCTTATTATTAAACTTTTTTATTAAGAATATTTTTCAGTACACCATTGTGAATGCAAAATTGTTTAAATACTATAATAAAGTTTTTGGTAATGTTCGGACAACTTTCATTCCTTTGTATCAGACGAGTATGTTTTACACTATGTATAATGTATATGTATAATAAAACTTACTTTAAATAATATATGTAGTTCATCACATAGCTCCTGTACAAAATTCATATCTGACAACAATGGAAGAACTAGTTCCCTGAAAATATAACAAAATGTAAATTATTAATCTAAAACACACACACACAGAAAATCATCTTAAATACACACAAACACAATAAAATACAGATTACGATTTTCTTATAACACATTTTTGCCTTTCTTAACGTATTTTTTTATGTGTATTTAAGATTTTTGTGTATATTTAAGATATTAACAACACTTGACTGACAGTGATCACTCCTTTTAGTAAAGAATGTCAATAAGCGGCAGGACATACAGTGTAACTATGACCATTTTTGATATTTAATTCGTCTACTAGTTTATATGTTTGGTACCTTTTTTAGGTTAAAAGGTTTCAGGTGCTCAACATTTTGTCACACAAGATAATTTACTAGTCTACTACGAGTTAGAACGACAAAACATCTTAAGAGCGATTTTATTATTTTGAGGCAGTGACAAAGCCAATACTGTTTCTTTGATAATGAAATTTAGTATATTCTCGAAACGCTAATATGACTCCAAAGACTCCAAACCTATTTATCGATAATTTATAATGAGACAGAAGTAATATTTGACACTGCTTCTAATGCATATATAAACTTCACAGATATGACTTCATCAACATTATAAGAAATATTTGAAATTTTCCGAATTTTCCTACGTAGAAAATCAGAGAAGCCCTGGTCTGGAGGTAGAAACATTGTATATATCCGATACTGACTTGGTTTCCTGGCTGAAGGGTAGTTTAGCTTGAGGCAGCCACGCCCAGTGGTAGGGATAAGCTCGCCATGAGTCCGGATGCTTGAACGGAAACGCGAGACCGTTGTCTATGGCCGCTATACGCACCTCGTTAGCTTGCCAGTCCTACACGACATTATATAATGGGTCAAATTAACAATATTGTGATAAATATTTATTATTATTATAACTCAGGCAGATTGTTGAAATAACTGATATATACCTGTATCCAATATCAGCTGTTCTGTTTTCATAATCTATACTAATATTATAAAGAGGAAATATTTGTTTGTTTGCAATGAAATACTAAACTGATTTTAAAAAATTGTTTCACCTACGGGAATCTACATCACAAGCTGTGGACATAGTATATTGCTCTAATTGTAAGCTTAAATTAACATAAAGGCTAGCTACTTTTATCCCGCTAAACAGTACCCTAAGGACAATGAGGGCACTTAACATCCTCAGGAGTTGTTAGACTTTACGGTGTCAAAGTTGCGAGATAGCTAGTTTCATGGTAATAGCAATCGACTTCCGCAAAGAAATTTTCCGCAAGACATTTTCTTTTAATTTCATTTGCTATTAAATCGTGGTGAAACTTGGTAAGCGCGATGCAGGTATAGCAGCCCCATCTTATAACTGTGCGAAGAAACTTGAAAATTTCGAACAGCCACCGATCATTGAGGCGATTTGGATAGACGTCGTTCTATATTTATTATAAATATTTATTTATCTTTATAATCATTATGGATCACTTACGGATACGATTCAAGCTACCGTGAAAAACCGAGACAATACAAAAAATGTACTCACACTGGGATCCAGCATAGGTATATTGTCGTTAGATGCGGGCGCTTCGTACTTTATTAACCAATTGTCGTTGCCGCGATCCGTGTTACGTATAATATAATCCAACACGACTAGCCTCTCAAATTGTAACTGGAATCTGTTTAATACAAAAATCAAAATTAGTTTAGTTATACGTTATTTAACCATGGAAAAAGGCCATATAAACAAATAACTAATACGTACTAACGTTGATTAACGGATCTTTAAATCTCAAAATCATAGGCATATCCATAAAATGATAACGTGTCAAAAATCGGTTAAAAGGAGCGGAAAATAGGAAAAAATAGTAAGTGGTTTGGTGGTATATCTGTAATAGAATAGCATATATCAATGGTATTTATATAATTATCTTTATTTACTTTCTCATAACGTGTGGTGGCGGCGGGTCTTGTTCAAACCTGCGCAGCCAGTAGTCCGCGTCCTTGTAGCCTTCTACGAACAATTGGAACGAGCCAACCTGAAAAGAATTTAAAGATATAAATATTAATAACAAAGAACCTCAATACTGATTTTATTATTGTTATTAAAGGCAAAGTTATTATTGTTGAATCTCTTTTTTTTTATTATTATAAACTAAAAAAGAAATTTAGCAATAGTTAAATCTACTTTCCGAAGCATGAAAGAGCTCGTGATATTTTTTTGGGACACCTATCCAAATCCTGCAACCTAAAGGGCACGTTCTGACTAATTTGCCATCAAACACTTCTATGCTAGCCTACAATGGTTCATTTCCAATAGACGGCTTCGCTGTAATCGGTTTATTAATAAATGAAATGAGTCCACAAAAACTGCCCTCATTTCGCATCGATCCCTGTCGACCAATATACAGTAAGTATCAAATAATATGACGCACAGTTAATCTTCGACAGAGAACATGAACCAATACTTCCGAGTCTTCTGTCAACTAACATAAGGTATACATTACACACATCGTTATAGGTGTCCATCTCACTCACACTCAGCGGAGGTCAAGTGCGTGGATATTGATACTTGAATCATTCTGATTGGATAATATTTGTCGGGCTTGGAAATTTAGTCTCCTGCGCATACATCAGTATTATTTTACTGTAAATGCTTCATTGTGCATCAAAAGGTATCTTTTAACTTACCTTTGGCGGCAGACCCATCCTGTTGAACCGTAGATTGGGAAACTGCTCGGTGATGGCGCGTTTCAACCGCGACCGCTCGCGGTCTATCCGCAAGTAGTTGAACGTCTCCGATACAAGTTTCACCACCTGCGAACAAGTGGCGAAATAAATTCCATGCCGAAAACGCATTTTGAAGTATGCGGTTCAGTATGTTTTTTTTTTTTGGTTTGTATAAATTTCTAATTTTCACAATTTTCCCTCTCGTTTGAATGTTTTAGATAGGAGATAAACAATAAAAAATATAAGATTACTATAGAGCTGTACAGGAAGGATAACCGGTATTTGTCAATAGAGAAACAGTTCACTACTATTAAAATAAATATAAAGGTATCTACTTATAAATATTAAAATTTAAGTCCAATACGGAATTTGAAATCTTAATCTGAGACTAGTCGATAGACCTGGGAACTCTTATAGATTCGTCAACGTCATGTCTGTCTGTCAGTAAGTAAGACATAGCCACTTTGTTACGAAACTATTAGCATGGATAATAGCATTGTAAGTACCTCTTCTGGTCTGTTTTGTTGGACCTACATATTGAGACTATAAGTGGGTGCAATCTATTAAACGCTTTAAGATTTTTTCGTTTCTTTATATTTTATTAGGGTTATTAATTGTTGTACTTTAATACATAGGGACAATATAATAATAATAGGAGACTTTTTGTGCCATCTCCATAGAGTAATAAATAAAACGCCACTGTAAGATATACTGCATCTTACAGTTGCGTCATGCTCATGCTCAAAAACGAACTTATAATGAGTCGCGTCCTCGCGGTCATGTTCGGTAGTGTGACGTCACATGCTGAGGTACCGCGTGAAGCGAAATTATTCTTGCGAGCGCTACTTCAAATTCCATTTTTTTTTATTTATCTAAGTTTAATTCTTTCACAGTATTTTTTGATTATGCTTATTCTCTCGTTTAAAACAGAATATAAAAAATACTAAATATCTTCATTTTCTAAATGCTAATACGAGTCCAAAGAAACGCAATTTTCGATAATTTATAATGGAACGGAGAAAGGACCCGACACTGCCTCTGATGTAGGTACAGATATATATCTTCACGGATAAGATTTTGACAAAATTATAAGAACGATTTGAAATTATTCGAAGTTTTGTTCGAGGAAAAATAGCCTCAGATGTCATGTGGGCAAAAATTCGTTTATAATCTAATATTGATGTTAAGATGATGATGAACAGAGTGTTCATCTGATACCGCTTAACGTGAAAGTCATTCAAGTTCACATAGCAAAGTTGTTTGTCTTTTTCGATTAGTAAAAACTTTGTAATCAAAATGAATTCCCATTGTAACACCACTTAAAAAGTACGATTCAATTTAGATGTATGTATGTGTAATATAAATGGGGGCGTATTCATAGTTTCGTTAATTGTCCTTGACATTATTGCCAAATATTCTTTCGAACGGCTGCGATGCTTGAAAGGGTATTACCTATACATACCTATATAAAAGGAGATGTCCTGACAAACTGACTGACACACAACGCACAGTCTAAACCACTGGTCGTAGACTTGAAATTTAGAGGGTACATTAGTCTCATTACTTAGAGGTGTAAGTTTTAAAATATATTTTTATAATTTAATTTGTAATAATGTAATTTAATTGACTGCGTATTAATTAGAATTGATCAATATGAATTGTTAAAATAATATACTTGACATTTTTAAAATACTTAATCCTCTTGGACATTCCTATAATGATCTGACTTGCATGATTTAAACCTTAGTATTTTCTAAGTTTATGGCCAATAGACAATTTGATTTGAAATAAAATGTAGTTAGATAAAACTTTAAGCCTTGCTATACTAGATGGGTTTATTTTTAACTAAACTTTGTTATCGTTTTGTTCAAAGAATTTTGCATAGATTTCAGTCTTCGACTAAGCTTTAAGATTTTCACAGATAAAGTACTGAAACCTTAGACCTGAAACATATTGGACATTAGACAGTTAACTACACGTGTAGTTGCTATACCTTAAAAAATATATATATAGCTTTTTGTTGTAGTGTCTTCGAAGTTGAAAATTAATGCAATTTTATTCTAAAGTCGCGGACATTTTGCTATTAATAAATTTAATAATTGTGTTTTGTATCGTGATCCTTCAGAAATATTGTATGTAAAATTTCAAATGTCAAGATATCATAAATAAAACTGTGTATAATTCACATATCTATCTCAAGCGATAACATAATGTGACCCAGTAATAAGATTTCGTATTGATTTTGTTACGACGTAGCCACAATAAAAATTGGCATACGCCTCAATAAGCGCCAGCCGCAACATTATCGGGTTCAGCTTCAGTACAAGGTTAGACCAACATATCGTATTATGCTATCACTGTGTCCGCGATACGTCTTACACTTAACCACAATTGACAAAGAAAGTAGAGGATTCAATATCACACCCTTTAATTTTGCAGAACGCCTTTTTATAAATTACAGGCTGTTTTCCCGTGACTTCGTGTATATTATAGCTTATGTCACACGCGTATGACGCCACAAAGAGTTTTTAAAATAGTTTCAGTAGCTTAGGAGCCTATTCGATGGAAACGAAGAAACAAACAAATATATCCGCTTTATAATATTAGTATATAATAATTTTTCAGGTCGCATTACACAAAACAAATCGTATCATCGTTAAAAATAACGAGGGAAGCCGTACCAATATCTTATGCTTGCGTGGACTTAAGAACAAAACAGTACAATTAGCTTGTACTTAAATTCATGTGATTGTGTGAAAATATGTTTTTCTTTGTCCCGCATAAATGGATTTCATTATAATTATTATTAATTATACTTGTAGCGATATCTCTTGAACATATAATTTAAATTAAAGGAAAGAACACAGCTCAGCTCCGAACGGCGACTTAAATATTCTGACGTAATTCTGGCCAAACTTGAAAAGACTTTGCTTTGAAAGACACAAATTGTCTTTCACAGGCAAAATCTGTGTTTGTTTAACATGATATGGAAGATAAACACTTATACCTATACGTATTATGAGTCAACGCACAATAGAGAGGACTAAAGGGGTCGTCCATTAATCACGTGATGTTTTTTCAACATTTTTTTAACCCCCACTCAAGTCACGTGTATTTTTAGTACCTACAAAAATCTTTATTTCTGACGACGCTTTTCGGTTAGGTAGTATTCGACCGTTTGAGGAAAAAATATACACGTGATTTATTCAGTATAAAATAAACATACAGTGGTTGATTATTAACTCTTATACCTACTAACTGAAGTAAAGACACAATCCGTAATAGTTAAATCTCTATGTTTCGAACCGGTATTTGATAGTGAGCATACATTTATTGTGATATTTAACTATGCATCACTCGAAAACTGTAACCAAATCTCTAATTGTATCTCAATAGTAACTTCCTTCGTCATTTTGAAGGCTAAAATCAACAGAGCACATCGGGTAAGCAAATATTAGGCAAAACGGTACAAAAAAAGTGCTGCACTTAATAGCTGGCAGTATCTTTTTATTATCAATAACATTAATTAAGAACTATTTTTGGAAGCAATCAGTTACTGTGCGATTCAAGTCTCTTCGTCGACTCAAGTTTTAACAAAAGACTCCTACAACTTTTCGTAACCGCAGTTTTCATGAGATAAAATCTTTGAGTACATGTCTATTCGTGTGTATAACAACGAATCCTGGAATGGCAACCTATCAACTCTCGGTATAGCCTGTGAATATCAGAAGCTTAAGTACTTCTGAATGGAATTGTGTTGTTTGAAGTCTATATATTAATTAGTCAACTTTTGAGTCTTCATACCTAACCTAATTCTCGAAAGACGTTACAATGAAGTTACTAGCACTCACCCTAGTTTTTGGCACGATTTTGAGGCCAATCTTGGCGTCGACGAGACTAGCGCCGGCCTCCGACAGGTAGCCCTGGTTGGGAATGAGGCACGACCGGCCGAAGCAGCACGGGCAACACAGTTTGTGCATCCACTTCGTCCATTTTGGATTAAGTCTTCCATACGGCTCTTCGTCTTTTGGTTTGAATACGCCTATTATTTTCTAAAAAAATAAACACATAAAATTAACATCAATATACTCTCAGCCAGTTGCACAAACGTCCATTATAATTCTCATTAGTTTAAAGCGACATTATCCATACAAATTTAAATTCATTAGAGATTAATGGCGCCATTAAACCTAAACGGACTTTTGTGCAACTGGCCGTCTATATCTTAATTCTTCACATTACGCATTGTGCTAGATATAGATATTTATTTTTGTTTTTAAATTATACTTAATACCTAGTAGATATTACTAAGTTTAGCCATGGTAAATGCTAATATGCGACGACATGTGATTGGCTAAAAGAAACATCTATATCATAAACCTATCAGTCTTATGTAATAGAAGTATTTAACTATTTCTTTATGAACACAATTATATGATATTAATAAATCAAGTAAATGTTACATTTGTACCAAAAAAGAGATAAAAGCTCAAAGATCTCTTTTCCCCACAAATGTGGTAATATCTGCTCATATAAAAGTTGAAACTGTGATTCTATAAATTAGAACCACAGTAAGTGTTTGAGCAAAATTCTTGTAGGTAACTGAATAAAACAATAGAATGTGGAATCATAACAATTACTTATATCATAACAATTATTGAATCACTAGCGATGTTTATTACATCATTCATACTAAAGTACTCACCCCTCCGGGGTTTTTAACGAAATACGACCCACTGGAGCCCTGGTATATCCGTTCTGGGAAGATGCCATTGTCAATCGCAACTTCCGCTTGCCACACAAGCTCGCTGAACTGCGGGTCATCTGAGACAAATACACATGTACACATATTAAAATATAAATATACCACAATATATTGATTTCTTATATTTTCACGCGCACCATCTATAAATGAAACAAATTTTCGGTTTCATCGCGTTTGTATTTTGTTTTATTGACGTTCGGACCCTTTGACTAACATAGATACTGCCAGATTAGTATAATTACTTCAGTTCAAGTATACTTCAGTTACTTTCATAGTGTGATGTCGTACGGAATCCTATTGTGGGGAAATGCTGCCGACATACAAACGATTTTTGTACTTCAGAAAAGAGCAATTAGATCAATTTATAATCTTAGTATTAGGGACTCTTTAAGGGAGAAATTTAAGGAAATAGACATAATGACTGTTGCTTCTAAATACATATACGAGAAGTTAATGTACCTTCGTAAAAATATCAGTTTGTTTTCTATAAAAAGTGATGTACAGAATTTTAATACAAGAAATAAAAATAAATTAACGGTGCCTGTCACTACACTGCAAAAAGTTAATAACTCATTCGGGGGTCTGTGTGCGCTTTTACAATAAGGTCCCGAGCAAAATACAACAATTAGATATCATGCAGTTTAAATCTACTATTATAAGGGCCAGTTTCACCGGTTACTGATAAAGTTTCAGATAGTTATCTGATAGTTAACGCTATCTACTGGATAAAGGTTGCTGTTAACTTTTTTCTGTTTCACCATCAAACTGCTAGATAATTTATCTGGCAGATAAGTTATCGGCCACTTATTAGTTGACGGAACGGCGACGTCGCTTTTTTGCGTTTCAATACTACGACCCAAATTATCGTCAATCAAAAATCATTTTTAAAACTTAATTAATATTTTTTTTTGTGTTCAATATTATTTAAGTAAACTTTTTTCACATATTTTGAATTATAATTTTATGATTCTAGAATGAAAATAATACGATATTCGTATACTTAGCTACGTGTTTACAGAAACGAAACGCAACTATCATTTGTTTTGCTTTGTTGATATTTTGTGCTTAAGACGCTTTTCAATTTTTAAACTTTTCTTTGTGTATTCTTTTTGGATCTGTTAATTAATAATGAAAAACAAAAACGTGAAAGAAGTGTGAATTTTAATTAAGAAGAAACGGAGCTTCTTTATTTACTAGTTAATGGAGATTTTTTACTTAGTAGCCCGTTGTAGTTTTTATATCACTTTCTATTAACGATAGAATATAAACAACAGCCGAAATCGATTCCTAAAATCTTGAACGTCAAGTGATTCTAAATAATTAGGTCTAGGGTTAATTATTCGATTCCTACGGGGTCGCGTAATACGTTCGAAATATTCATCTGATTCGTCTTCTAAAAACACAAATAAATCCATTTTAGAATATTTATGACACTTGTGACTTCAATCGACGCAAAGCACACAATAATGGTCTAAAACTAAAACTATTTTCGTTCCCGTCAATTGAAACTTTTTTTTTATCTATCAGATAACGTCTTTATCAGCCACTTGAATCGGCTGATAACATATCTAATACTTTATCTGCCAGATATTTTAATCCGAGACCTGTGAAACCAAAAGTTGTAGTTTATCTGGCAGATAAGTTCCTGATAGACTATCAGGGACTTTATCAGCAACCGGTGAAACCGGCCCTTAAAATTACTTATTAAAAAAGCTTATTATAAGGTATCCGATTATATAACAGATAAGAATGCTGGGACTTGAGATGATCCAGCAACTTGATATATATAAAAAAATATCTTACTTCCATTATTATTAAATGATTATGTTATCATTATATGACCATAGTTTTTTTTTTCTCTCTCTCTATTTATAATGTATTGATCTGGTAATGCCATAGTTTTTGTAAATGTCATTACTCCTATTAGAGCTGGTGAGTTTTTGCTCGTTCTTCTTATCAGCCAAAAGACGTCCTGAACGAGCGGAAAAAAATGTTGGACAATTCAAAAGTACTTTTAAGAAGTCTGTTGAATAAAGATTATTTGGATAAGACGTATGTGAACACGGAACTAAATACAAACGCGATAAAACCGTTTAAAGGTTGTTTCATTTATACGGCAATATATAAGATGTCAAATTATAATATGATGACCTCCATGGCCGAATGCCTCACACACGGCTATCTTTGAGGTCCCGGATTCGATTGTCGAAACAGGTCAGTGTAGAAACTGAACACTTGCTTTAACTACTTAGTTTTGGATCTGAGCAATGTACGAGATATTATCTAATATCTATTACACATATTTTTTAATAAAGTTTATTAAGATAACTTTTGCCATCTTGTAGGTAGGGACATGATCCCATTGCTATACAAATTTTCGGGCTTCTGATCAGCGACAAGTGGTTTTCGTAGTCCTCACGTGATGTTACCCTAATACTGCCTAAAGAATCCTGAAGAGACCGAAACAGGTAGAAATCCAAAGGTCATACATATACAGGTCTATACGGCGGAAGCAATAACACCTCCCAGCCAGACTCTCTTAATTTTGCTGAGTGAGAACAAATGTGTGAGGTCTATCGTTATCATGACGAAAAACCACACCCCTTCTATTGATTAATTCTGGCCGCTTTCTCTCAACTTCTTGCTTTAATCTCATCAGTTGTTCGTAATGGAGTTCAGAATCGATGCCCTTCCAATCCCACCATACACATAGCATCACCTTGTTGCGAGTTAACCGGGGTTTCGCCACAATCTGTGAAGCCTGACCGACCTTTGACCACGACCTTTTTCGCACGTTCTTGTGTATGTGATCCACTATTCATCACCGGTTATCAGTTTTTTAAAAATGGTTTGGTTTCATTACGCCGTAATAAAGAATCACAAATGATATTGACATGAATACACACTATAATCCATTCACTATAACATTAGAAAAAAGAGGGTCATAGAAGCAGCAGTGCAGAACATTTTATTTTCAAGATAAATTTAAAAAATATATATGTATTAGTTTTATTGAAACTTTGAACGTTAGGTAGTCTGAAAGAGCTGGGCAATTTTCCATTTTTTATGATACCCCGGGGTTGAGATGAGGCCAGCATTTTATAAATTCATCTTTTAGTCCCAAGCCAACATGGAACTAAAACTGAAACTATCTGTGTGTTTTGATAAATTCTAATTGTTAGTGTAATTAGTTAGACAATTGATGAAGACATTGGAAAAACTCCCTGAAATGTCAAAGTTTGAAGGTAGGTATGGGGGCTTAGAACGTAATTTTTAGGCCACTCGGGCCTGCACCGGCATCCTCCATATTTATTAAAACTTAAAAACAAAACAAAAATAAAACAATAACATCAAGGAAAACGGAAAAACAACAAGAAAGGCAGTAGTATTCACAATGGATGGCAATCCCCGATTACGATTTTAACAACTATGAATAAATAATAATCTGACAAAATTAAAAAGCTGTACTACCGAAACGTTTAAAGGGGGTTAGGCAACATTTTAAATTTGGTAGAGTTATAGTGACATGAGAATCGTGCCGAAACTATCCAACCCTGCTTCTTTAAGTTCTTTACGATGAACACTTTTTATTGTAATAGTTATTAAATAATTTAAGTTAGTCATATACTCATAAATTTGTTTAATAGATAGCTTAAATGACAACAGTTAAGTATAGCAGCCGGTATTTAAGTGGATATGTAGCAAATTAGCCGTCAGTCTTAAAAGTAACATGATTATTGATATTTTGTCACAAAGTATACCATAAAAAGAATCTTATTTAACTTCTGTCTAATGCTATTATGAATGGAGTATAGGTTTCTTTTAGTGAGCTCGTGAGGTACCCAAAAATCCTCCTTTTCTGAGTACCCAGCTTTTTTCAAACGCAACAAAACTGTTTTATGGTCAATCCCCAGTTTTTCAGCTACGTTGTATCATGCTCAACTTTTTCCAAAATGCCATTCATTTTATCCTTAACAGGGCGACCGAAGCGACCTGCATCTTTGACATCAAAATTTGTGCTACTCCCACAGAAAGTGCACTAGGTCTACATATGTAACAAATTATTTCACTTTATAAACTCTTCAGCTTTATAATATTAGTTTAGATTAAGACTGATAAAAATGTGTATTAATAGTGATCATCTATAAATGAGGTTATCTAAATAAAATCAAGTTTTTTAACTGTGTTCTAATGACCAATTAACATGAACAACAACATAATTTTACCTTGAACCAATATTTAATGTTTGGAACCTGTTAGAAGGTATTTTTGATTCTACAACTTCAACATGTTTTGTCTGAATTAATATACCATGTAACCTAGTTAAAACTATTTAAAAACACACTTAAGGGTAGGGTAGCTATAATATAAACACTCAATTTAAAATAATTTTCAAAAGTCCTTTAAATTATCTCTTATATCTAATAAGAAAATAATTAAGTATTAGATAATTAAAATTATAATTGTAAATAAAGTATTGATCAGTTTCCTTCAAATTAACATGTTGGCATGATTTTTTCTAAAATTTTAAACATTTTTTGTGATACTTCAGAATGAAAAAAAAAAACAATTATTATATTAATTTTTATCAAATAATTTATAGTAAAAACCATGATGGAGTTATTCCTTTTTATAAATTTCTTTAGTAACAACCACAGTAAATTTTAAGTTAGGTCAACTAGTCATGTGCAATTGTGCATGCATATACAAAAAATATATTGATTAACGAACATGTCGGTTCTGTATTAATTATTTCTTAAACTCGAAACCCACTTAATTTATTGAGTTTACTAATTTTCAGTTTCCAATTCAAATAAATAATAATTAACTTAAATGTTTCAATAACTATCAAAACTAGTTAGCTTTTATTTTTGTATTTGCTCCATGAGTATTGATCATATGTTTGTTAATAAAGTAGCCCGCTGCAATGTCTCAAATCTCTCTATACCAAATTTCTTTTGATTACACAGCAATTCAGGCATGCAAAAAACAGATATTTTCACATTTATGTATGGATTAGAATTCACAATTTTTTCAATCTGAATTTGTTATGAAATAAAAAACCTCATGATTAGAGCTTTGTGAGGCTTGCAAGTAAGACAAATACTTTTTATTCTTTGCTAAAAACAAACTAGTTAAAAATTTTCATGGTATCCTATAAGATAACACTGCATTTGCATTGTTATCAATGTTTATATTTGCATAATAGATGGTCACCACCATTTTAGCAATACCCTTAAAACAAAAGAAAAAAAAACAAATAAAATATTTCTTGTATGTTCATAATAAATATTTGTTAAAGACCTGTAAGCACAATATTATTTGAATATTGTGATTACAGGTGTACTTTGGTGAGTAGCCTGTAAGCGTGCCATATGGTTCTTTAATTTTCATTAAAGATAAGGAAGTTTATTATATTTTACCAAGAACTGTCAATATCAGATAAGTGTTAATAATAATACCAACTCACCACATTGAAAAGGTTGGTCCATTATTTGTTTTTCAACAAAATTAATACTGTCTGAAATACTGAACACACAGATGTTATGCTCCACTGAAAACTTCATTCTGTGACTAGCTTCAAGTGAGTAAAGTACAGTTTAGAATTAAAACACAGCTGAAGTTGGAAGGGAGAAAACAACAACCAATTATCATTAAAACGTAAATAATAAGTGTATTTTAAATAAAAAATACTTTACAACCAAATGTTAAGTATATTTTTATGATAATGTATAAATGCTTTATTTTGAAGCCCCACAAGAGATAAGAGAAGACTGAAAAGTGTCTAGAGATTCGAATAGGATAAACTCAGTATTAGTTTTAAGAACAACAACTAATATTGTGCCAACAACTTTATTATGTAGATAACATGACTCAGAGTATTATTCGACTTTCGTACCTGGAAAATGATTGAAGGAAACCTCGAAGTCACCGCGGCCGCCCAGCAGCGGCTGCGATTCCCGATTCACTCCTGGCGAATCCACGTTGCCTTCGAACCCGACCTCTGGGACTAAACAAATTTCTTCCGAACTGCTCGATAAAGATACCACGCCGTCATCGGGTAACGACGGCGTAATTGTTGAATTTGGTTTGTCGAAATCGAGATTCAAAAGAGTCTCTTCCGTACTCATGAGTAATGTTAAACAATAAAACTTTGCCGAGCCTCATTTATTTCGTATTATAAGTCTTTGTTACACAGTCATTTACACAAACACATAACTTCATTCAGCACAAGAACAAAACCATAAATCAAAGTTAAAGAAGAAAGTCGATGTCGATGTCGAACTTTGACAGCGTTGACAGATAGAATGACAGAATGTGACCATAGATGTCATTTTTTTTTCTTTCAGAAAAGGCAAAGCTAACAAGCCCACACAGCTATGTCTAGATATAATCTGGCTTTCGTATCAAAAGATTGATAAATATTGCATGATTATTTCTTTAAGGATTATCAATATAAAATTAAAGAGAACATAAATAATCTACAGCAGACTATCAGGAAACAGATCAGAAAACAGTATAGTTGTTAAAAGTACTATATTTTATTATATTTGATCAACTTTGCATTCATAATTCTATACTGAAAAATATCCATCTCAAGAGTACCATGGACAAAGTGTTTTTTTTAAACATTTTTCATTGAGAATATATTTTGTTGAAATAAGCTTCTTTATTGATGTTTTTTTTTTTGAAAACTTATACAAAAACATTGTAAAAAAATCTATATCAAACGAATGAGCTTATTGTGAGAATCTCAAATATATACTTGCACTTCATACCTAGCTACCTTAGACTACCTACTTAAGACTTCATTTCATTTGTTACAAAATTATATAGAAGATAAGTATAGATTAGTATATATAAGATAGATAATATATATCTACCAAGTTTCAAGTCAATCAGTCTAAATGTTACGAAGAAAATCAGCTGTGTCGATAGACGGACGGACAGATATACTACTACATACTTTGAATTTTTAAATATTTAAATAATATATATACATATTAAACCAGCTTCTCCCCCAAATTTGCCCGCATAAATTAAGGTCGTAGCACAGGTGAAAGAATTTTTAAAATCGGTCCAGTAGTTTCGGAGCCTTTTCATTGCAAACAAACGATCTAATTTTTCTTTTTTATAATATTAATAAAGATTCAAGTAAAACACTTACCTCAATGGAGCAATCGAGTTTTTTTTGTGTGCATATGGTAAAATAAAACTCAGTAGTCAATGCAAAATATTATTATATAGCCGAGACAAAATTGAGATAATTCGCAAGCTAGTTATCAAGCCAGTCCAATGAAAACTAGCTTACTGAATTGTTTCAAAACTTGTTTGTTACTGTTATCTTGGTGTTGGACTAATTTAAATGCCCATGCTATTTTATTTATATATTGTGCTAATAAATACAAGCAAAAACGAACATTATTGATTAATGCATGTGATGTTGTGAACTTGTGATTTTTTTCTTAAATCATTAAAAGAAATAGGACTATAATAAATTGGAAATAGTTAGAATAATGGTTATTATATTATAGGTATGTATTATATGTACACGATGGCAATCCCGGTAATAACTGTTATTCTAATGTTAATAATGGCCATGACAGTTTGAAACATCATACTCCTTTATTATGGGTTTATTTTATTTATCAAATTCATTTGCTAAATCCGCTCTTCGACTTTCCAACTCCCACGGACAAATTTGATTTAATATTGGCTTGAAATCTAAAAAACAATTAGTAAATTTTTATTACAGTTACTTTTATTACCGTAAATATAATATTAAATATTTTATGTAACGATTAAAACATTCTGCAGAAAGATTTATATAACAACTACCTGTTTTCCCGCGATTTGGCATGCGTAAATTATAGCCTATGTCAACCCTGTATAATATGATATACGTCTTTCTGTGTTCTGTGATGTAGCTACTCCTAGGAGAAAGAATTTTTAAAATCGGTCCAATAGTTTCGGAGCCTATTCCAAAGAGTATTATTATATTTGCCTATTCAATGGAAACAAACAAACACACAAAGAAATCAAATCTTTTCTCTTTATAATATGAGTATAGATATCCCGTATGTCTGTGTCCCAGAAGGTGACATATTTAAAGAATCACCGAACGTCAAATCTACTATTTTTCATGAGATGTTCACCAATTGATGGAGTGTTGATCTCTCATATATTGCACAGATTTCAGCTACGTAGCATGGCGGACTTAAACGATAAGAGTAACATTTTATGTAGACGTAGCGTTTTTCGAGTTTGTAAAGAAAAAGCCCTTGTCCGTGTTTTATAGAGTATTTGAAATAAAAATGGTACACAACAACTAGATCCGAGACCGCCAAATTCGGATAAACACCTTGAAACATATATGAACCAAAAGAGGATGTAATTTAGAATTTTGAAAAATTCAATATATTAGAAGAAGGTTGGAATAGTTTATCACACACTAAATCTTAATGTCTACTAAGTGGTAAATATCCGCCTAAGCTAAGACGGTTTTTCTTGTTTTTTATAAAAAAAGATACGTAGAGTCACCAGCACATCGGACTATATAGGTAAACCGGTTAGGTTTCTTCTGTCGTTTTTATATATTAAATCTTGACAGTCGAGTTCAAAATCGTAAGTAAGTATTTAATTAATACTTATAAAATATTTTTACTAAGATTTAACTTACCTGTGTTGAATCTGCAATTATGCTTCAACATGTCACATTTATTATTGAAAGATACGACATTGCCAGTGTTATGGTTGCAGGCGCAAACTGGATTAATTAAATCTGATACAGAACATGACATTTTGGAACAACGGAATGCCTTGGCCTCATCAGCATTGGCAACATTATTTGAATTCTTTAAAATTGGAAGTACCATTTCGGTTTCAGGTGGCGCTGACCGAACAGGTAATTTACCAGTCTTAGATTCAATTTTATCAAATTGTAATACGGTCTCGGGATTTATAATATAATTTTTTCCGGCATTGCAACATGGTTGACTTGGTGTTTGATAGATGAGAAATTTGATGGCATACGCTATATGAATAACTGTAAACAAAAATAAAATGTTTATACGTTTACCAGATAGGTAGGTACTTTAACATTGACTGGCTATGGGATCTGTGACGAATAATTTCTCCTCCTCCTCCATCCTCCTTGCTTCGGAAGACATTATGCTATTCCGATTCCTGGTTATATTTAAAGTCGTTAAAACCCACCAGCATGTGGTAGGTTACAGCTTTCTTCTTTGTGGTGGGTTACAAATTATATCCATATCTAAAGAATGTGTCTCAGGCCCTGAAGTAAGGACTTTAAATAGCTGATAATAATGAGAGCATACATTTCAATGGGCTTGTGAAAGAACGGTATTGGCGTTTTGATTAATCCCGTTACTGTTACGATGACAAATACCTACGTGGTGTCATTTTTTTGATTTTGTTTTGGTAATCATTGGTATCGTGAATATCTACTGGTAGTTCTTCTGCCAGAATGCAGCAATACTAGCAGAACATCCAGATGCTTCTAGGGCTATCTTCAAAATTGGGACAAATCTGGGGGCGATTCACGTGGAATGGCTATCGTAGTTTAAAATTAAGAAGACCGTCCAGTCCCCCTTTTCAAAACAAACATTTACAAGCTTATCACAATCATGAAGTAGCTTCACTGTTTTGAAGAAAATTAATCATTATTTTATTTTAAATTAATTACTTACTCTCTTAACTTAATATTTTTTACATAATGAATAAATCATTTAGTACTCACCGCCAAAAGTAACAGTAAGTCTGTATAAAAATTTCATCTTCAATAGGTATTAAAAATTATGGTGTTATCGAAAGTACCTTCCCGATTTCCGTTTTACGCTTAAAATGATTCAGGTAGTATGTTAAATGGAGTGCATTTAATACAAATGAAAATAAATTTCATTATGCATGGCGACCTATTTAGAATGTAACTATTAATTAAAAAGTAGCTAATGCGCTTGTACTATGGAGTATCTGAAATAACCAAGGTATAACAATACCCAGACCTAAGAAACTACAGAAAACATAATATTCCACTATTGAGAATAGAACTCGGTACCACTGAGATGGGGACACCTTGAAACAAACGTGCGAGCCACTCGACCACGGAGGTTTTCGAAAAAGAAGGCGAGGAAAAAGAAACACATAAATAATATACATGTAAATTTTATTTCTACAGTATTTGATTTAAATAAATATTTATATCTACATGATTGTTTACTATAAAATGAATGATGTTCGTCGGGTTCCAATTAAATTAGCTATACCTAAATCATTCAATTACTATTATCGTAAGACCCTTCGAAACCTTGATCGTCGGTATAACCACTGTAGTCTCTATTCGTAAATCCTTTATCCAAGTATCCTTGCTTTCCAAAAATCCCTTTTTGTCGATCATGGTGAAAATGTCCTTTATCAAACCCTACACCGCCACCAATTTTATATCCTACTGCCTTCCCTCCAACCTTCTGTATGGAACCTGTGGTCTCATCATCTTCGTAAAACTCTTTATCTTTTTTATATTCGTCTTTGTGATGGACACGATGGAACCCTTTTGTTTTTGTACCTTTCTTATATTTTCTTTCTTCTTTTCCTTTAGCACCAACTGCTTCTCCAATTAATCCTTCAACTGCTGCATATATTTCATCATCATTGAATGACCCCTGATCTTTGACTCCTATTATTTGAAACAATTTTTTCAAGTCTTGTATGTTGTGATTACTCTTTAATCCTTTGCTACTTGTGGCATTTTTCTTGAAACCAGATCCTTTTAGTTTAGCTTTAGATTTATCATTCTTGAGATTACTGTTACTTTTCGCTGCATCTGGCTCGTCTAGAAATTTCGAGAAGTCATCATAGTTTTCTTCTTCTACTTCATACTTTAGATCGTCCAAATCTGTATCTAGTCTATCGAATTCCAGAGTGCCTAGGTTCACTGGCGATGCTTCGGTCCAATAACGAAGAATGGTCAATGATAACACGAAACATAATTTCTTTTGCATTATGTTCCGATTTTTTTCTTACTCTTGAGCAATCGAAGTAGGTTGCGACACTGACATACATGCCATCTGTTCAGTTTTATATAGCCTCTATACAAAATTAACCGGCAAGGATGATTTTTTCATAGAGATGAGTATTAATATTGGTTCTGCATCGATAGATCTGTAATAACTTAAAGGTGTAACGCACAGATCGGTCAAGGTTTTGTGTCAATTTGATTCATTGATTTAGCCGCCGACAGTTTTTTGTAGGAACGTAATGTTTATTTAGATTTAGAAGAATGATTTTATAACTTGTATTTACTTCAAAAGTAAATAAGTATTATAAAAAAGCTGTCGTATAATTTTCTTTCATATCCAGTATTGAAAAATGAATCAACAACTTAATAAGTTTTACGTGATTATACCTATAGTTAAGTAGATATCTACGTAAAATCATTTACATTTATCACAACTTAGGAAAAAAAGATTAGTATAATATAATACAAATTTTACTTGGTAGGAAGACGATAACTTATTCAAATTGCAGTTAAGTATTCAATTAAATTTTCAATAACCATCCACAATTTTATTAAAATTAAATCCTTATTCAAACTATCAATACTAATAATTCAACAAAAAATTAAGAATAACCGACTACGATTTAATATGAAAACAATTGATGGACTTAAATAATCAATTATAATTTAATTAAGTACTCTTTGTTCCACTTAATATCATTAAAATTAAATTATTTCCGTAGGATTTAAAGAAAACTCATAAACCATTACGAAGGTTATCGCAACTTATTTTAACGCAAGTGTGCTGTGTTGTGTGTGTTTCACGTTAAAATGAGTTATGTACTTGCGTGTGATTCAAGTAAAGTGCATAGTTTATTCTAATATTACAAAATATTCAGAATTTATCATAAAATAATATTTACAATGAAACTAATGTTAGGTACTAGAACTCAGAAGCAATAGATGAAATTTAACAAGAAATTAGAGTTTATTGGAACATAAATCATAAATGTTTAAAAACTACAAACTAAAATAATAAAAAATATACTAAATAAGTAACGTTTCTGAAGTCGTTTTATATAAAAAATATATATATATATATATATTTTTAGTGAAGTATGAAAAACTGTTGGCACTTATCAATTTATCATATTGATTATTAATTAGTTCTGTTATTTTATCAACCTGCATCTCCCAAACTACAAAGCAGTTTCTTGGTATGCATGCAGCAAGCATGAAAGCGAAATAGACGATCTTTTACTTTCTTCGGTGACATAGATACCATATGTCATCGAAGTATTTTTGGTATTAGGCATAACGCTTTCAAAAAAAAATTAAACTGCTAACCCGATTTCGATAAAAACTTATAGGAGACTTTTTGAAATTGGATTACAGTTAGAGAGAAATCAGTAACCATACATAAAAAAAAATCCTAGTACCCGTCGAACATAGAACCTCCTCTCATTCGATTCTATTGAAGACTATTCAAAATAGACCGTGATAAGTATACAATATGTTTCAAATAGCACTGGTTTTATATCCTGCCTAGTTTCTTCAACTTTTTTTGAGATAAAAGAGAATACAATTATTCAGTGCATATTAAAACAAGTACCCCGATATCAATTAACCAATAAATAATTTTGATTCAATTGTGTACTATATCTATCATTCTAAAATCTAACAAATTCGGTTCAGCTGAGACCTAGTGAAATTTAAGTTTTGTACCTCAATGTTAACTATCTTTTATTCGACCTTGTATTTTAAGATCATACGCAAAGTTTGTTTAATTTTATTCCAAAATCACATTACGTAGACTTATTGTGGTTTCAGAATCAAATTACTAATAAAATGTTGTTATTATTAAATTGATTGTAAGCAAGTTTCATTGGCTCCAATCATTATAATAAATACTCGTACAATAAGAATTAAGGTCGATGTTTCAATTAGGTAATACTCTGACAACTGTTAATGAAAAATATTTCTAGCTGTTTTAATACGAGGGTCAAACTGAAAGTTCTTAGAAAATCAAAAACTGATTACATTAGCCAGTTATTAGTTTTATTATATCTTTTCAAAATATTGTCCATTCACTTCAATACACCGCTGCATGCGATGGAACCACTGGGAAAAGCACTTTGCCCACTCGTCCTTAGGGGTCTCTTCAATGGTATCGCGATACGCAGCCACCGCTTCTTCAGCATTCATAAACCGCTTTCCTTTAAGTTTTTCTTTAATTTTTGGAAATAAATAAAAATCACAAGGCGCGAGGTCGGGGCTATACGGCGGGTGACCCAGTAATTCAACGTTTGATGTCGCCAAATAGTCGATCGTTCGCTTGGCGGTGTGCGACGAGGCGTTGTCGTGGTGAAGGAGGATCCTACTGCGAGGTCGTTTCTCTCGAACTTTTTCCAAGACAAGTGGCAAACAATTGGTAGTGTACCATTCTGCAGAAACTGTTTTTTGATCCTCTAACACAATTGTTGCAAAATGACCTATCCTTCCAAAGAACGAGGCCACCATTTTTTTTCCCGCACTTCGATCTCTCTTCACTTTAGTTGGCAACTCCTCGAAAGGAAACACCCACTGAGCAGATTGTCTTTTGGTTTTAGGATCATAACAGTAAATCCAGCTTTCGTCACCTGTTAGTATGTCGAACACAGCATTTGAGTCACCTCCGTTAAATCTTTCAATCATTTTACGACACCAATCCACACGATGGAGTTTTTGAGCCTCAGTCAAATTATGAGGTATCCACCGGGCGCAAAGCTTCCTGACCGCTAAATGTTCGTGGAGGATTTTGTGCACTTGACTCATACCGATGCCTAAGCTTGTCCGAATCTGTTGATAGGTCACTCTTTTGTCAGTCTCTATCATACGCCGCACAACACAGATGTTATCTTCAGTCGTCGCCGTAGAAGGCCGTCCCTCACGTAAATCATCAGTGAGATTAGTGCGACCACGTTTAAACTCATTAAACCAGTTGTAAACAGTCGCACGAGATGGGGCTTCATCGTGAAAGGCCAATCGTAGTCTATCATAACTTTCTTGTTGACTTAAATGACATCGAAAGTCATAAAAAATCATTGCACGAAAATTTTCTCGTGTTAAATTCATGATGACGTGACACAGACAATTTTCAATTTGCCGCCAAATCGTAAAACAAATGACAAATGAATGAAATATATACTCAGTAATATTGGCAAAGAGTTATATTTTCAAATTTTAGAATTATTTTTTTATTATATTGTTTATAAGTGGCCAGTTCTAAGAACTTTCAGTTTGACCCTCGTACAACACAAAAACGAGGTAAGTGAAAGAAATATTTATAGAAAGTATTATTTTATTGGTGAGCAAGTAATAAAAAAGTATATTTAAACCATAAAATATCAAACATAACAAAATCATAAGCAACTCTAAAGTAAATATTTACAAAAATCGTAATTCGTTGTCGTCATTTTTTTAATATTTGTCGTCGTCGTCGTCATCGTCATCGTCGTCGTCACCATATACGTATTCCTTCTCATGGCTGCTTCCTCCCTTTTCGCCATAGTCACCCTCTTTATTGTAATGACTCTCATGACCTTCTTCAGCAGAATGGCCGTGATCAGCGTCATTAATATTACCATCAGCGTGGAAACCTCCTTTACCAAATTCACCCTTGTCGTAACCGGAATCATGATGACCACCTTCTTTGTGTCCACCTTCCTCAGAACCATGATGCTCCTTTTGATAACCGTGCTTATTGAAATGACCACTATTGTCAGCGACATCGTAAAAATCATGGTCTTTCTTAAACTCGTCCTTATGGAAAACTTTATGGTACCCAGTGACATCTTCGCCCTTGCTAAAGTGTTTCTTATGGCCGTGGTCGCCTCCTTTATAGCTGCCCCCGGATTCATGGTGTTTACCATGAGCATCAGCTTCATCGTGATGACTGCCCTTTTCACCTTCGCCCTCACTGTGAAACCCTTCTTTGTGAGCCTCACCATAATGTCCAGCTCCACCTTTAGCATGGTGACCTTTAGAATGATATCCTTTACTTCCTTTTTCTCCGTGCTCAGAATGGTGCTGTTCACCATAGTCATTTCCAGCTCCCTTCTCGTAGCCGTGCCCGTGGTGATGGCCACCTAATTCTCCTCCGTCATGATATTCTTCGGAATCATCATCGTCATCGTCGTCTTCCGCGTCTTCAATAACAATAGGTTTCGCTGCTACATAGGGTAGAGGCACTGGTCCTAAGGCATACGCTTCGTATGCTTCCTTCAAAGGTTCCGCTAAAGGTAATGGTGAAAATGCAGGTTCTTGATATGAATGAGCTCCCAACTGAATGAGACTTGCTGGTCCATCATTGTCGCTTCTGTAAATATAACCGGTAGCTGCTGGAGCTAAGCCGACTTGAATGGCTGTGGCAGTCGCCACTATAGCGGACAATCCTAAAGCTATCTTCACCATGTTGAGATGTGTATCGTACCACAATCTGTACAATAATAATTTGATAACACGGTTGCCCAATATTTATATCTAGGTTAGAGACAATAGAACCGTGAGTGTGCGTTTGCTGGACCTTTCTTGTAGCCGTGTAACAATTTGCTTATCAAACGAGGTTAAAGGTGACAAAGACATTGGTAATGAAAAAAATCATCTATTGTGCAACAATCTGCCGCTGTCTGACCGTAAAGTAATAAGCGTGAAATACTGAGAAAAATGTCGGTGCGTCTACTACTATTACTTCCCAGCAGAGTGAATTTCGTAGTTGAAATAGTGATATTAGTATTTTCTATTTTGTGAATTTATGAAATAAAAATCTTGACATCTTTTTTCAGATGCAATTTTTTATAGATGATATTTAATAATACAACTCGTATTTTTTATTGTTCGATATTATACCTAAATTATAATAGATATTATATTTCACATAAATGCAGTGCAAATAATAAAGGATTGTGATTTTTTTCAGTCGAGAATTTTAAGCTTATATACAACTTGCAATTGCAATTGTAATTTTTTAAGGTTTTTACAGCGTTGTGTTCAGTTTCAGTGTGCTAGTAAATTCACCTTTCTCTACCGTTACTCGCTGTTTTTTGCAGACCTAGTTGTTCAAACAGTCGAATTTGTTTTAGATGCCGTTGATTAATCAATGTTAGACGCATAACGAAAATCTTCAATGAAAGTGATTCCGATTTTCATTTATAGATTAAAAATGATAATGATAGATTAGAGTTTTTAAGGAATATGCTATGTGCCTGTTTTGTTAGAAAATGTGGTTTCGACTAGTCTTCCCCATTAAGTTACAAAACTTTTTTGTTTCTTGATTTTCTGCTCTGATGACGATTTTCCATGGCAATATTTGTATCGCTTTATTTATTCTTTTCCGCCTTGTCAACATTTTAATTTCTTATCTCTATCATATAAATATACAGCTTTCTTCCTTAATGGTATCTATTTTTATTTACATACTCATTCCTTTGTATCTTTTTTGCTCTTTCAAATGTATCTTATTTTCTATTAAAATACCTTAATGAATAATTTGTTAAATTCTCTACTCTACTCTACGACTATTAAAATTAGGCACCGCATAAATCAGACGGATCATTTCTTTCTTTTATGTTCTCAATTATTGCACTTAAGTTGGATATTAATTGTGTGAATTTCAATTTTGTTGAATATCAGAATTGGTATATCGGAGGATGGATTTATCCCTAGTATTGGACGTCATGTCAAATACTCTCTATTTATTTCAACCATTTGGGGTTGAAACGATGTGTCCTTTGGACCTTGGAATCCATCGTTTGTCGCAACACTATAAAATAAACTTTTTATTAGGTCTTGTGTCTGCGAGTGATCGAAAGCGAATAAGTCTCGCGATTCAGAGGAAGTGATCACTGGCCACCTTACCCTAGTAAAGTTTTTGGTATATGTGATTTAGATGTAAATATCTAAACCTAACAATTTTTCTAATATAGAAAAATTGTTCGTACGATCGAGAAATGTTACAAGTCTGAGAAACCCGAACAAAAAAATCTATATACTGTGATTATTATAATTTTATTTGACGTTTGTTTTATCCATTATTTACTTAAATTAATTCCATCGACTGACTTGTACTATAATAATTTACTGAATTTTTGACACAAATGTAATATTTTGATTAAATGCTATATATAACATGTACTACTATTATTGATATTGTTAAATTCGATATAATTTTATCTTTTGATGAAATATTTTAAGTTTATTCTTAATACAAAATGCTTAAAGCTCCACTTGGTTAGAGCAGTCGCCCGGATTGCGAAAGGTCGTAGGTTCGATTCCCATCTCAGGGTGCCAGGGACCAAGGGGATTTTTTAAGCATTTTGTATTAAGAATAAATTTCAGTATGGCATTGTGAATGCAAAATTAATCAAAATATAATAATTTTAAGTTTAATCATTGTAATACCTATATTTCTTTTGCATGCTATTCAAGATAGCTAAATAGGTCAAAGCTCACACTCAAAATTAAAAATCATCACTGTAAATATAACCCTATTTATTGCAAATAAAGACGTTATTATTATTATTATTCATTACTAATAAGCATAAAATAAGAAACTAAAAAATATCATTCAGTATAAGGTATTAAATAAAGGGCATTACATACATATAAACCTAGTTGAAATGTTTCTTTGTAAACCTAGCAACGGCTATAAAATAAATTTCTTGTTTCTAAATTTTTAGAGCCTGAGCGCTTAGTGTAAGTTTTTTTGACGTTTACGTTCACTGTCGATCGTGAGCGCGTTAAGATTTTAGTATGGAATTCGGCACAGCGCCCCTAGCGGTAACTATCAAGAACTACAAATCTCCATACAAATTCTTAACGCGCTCACTAGTGAACGCGTTAGCGTAAAACTTACACTTACCACTCTGATTTAGCTGTAGTCGAGTTCTTGAACTTATTTTTGACATATTTGAAGAGAAATATTGTTTTACGTATTAATTTCTAGATTACGTTGTAACTATTTATAATAATACAAGACACTACTGATCAGTTGCAAAAACGTCCAGTAAGGTTTAATGACGCCTTTAAGCTCTAATGAATGTCAAATTTGTACGGGTAATGTCGCTTTTAACTAATTACAATTTTAATGGACGTTTGTGCAACTGGTTGTAAATGCAATAAAACGTGATAAATGTGGTAATGGACCCGCCATTACTAAGTCTCCGCCGATCCTTCTGTTTCTCTATCTGTCGATCACCACCATCAGTCACCAGACTATAGCTCATGAACCGTGATAGTTAGACAGTTGTAATTTTCACAGATGATGTATTTCTGACACCGCTATAACAACAAATACGAGAAAATAGAATAAAATGAATATTTAACGAGGTTCCCATAAAACAAACGTGTTTTATTTGCGTTTTTCATAAATACTGGTACGAATTTCTTTGTGCGCGAGTCTAACTTGCACGTGGCCGGTGTTTATTATATATACTTTTGAATAGTTGTAAATCAATATTACTATGTATCAATCGATCCAATATTTCATATCCAATAAAATATTATAGGATATTAGATCGTTGAATGGATTGAATATAACTTTATGAATAAAATAAGTATAATAATAATAATCTGATAAGCTACGCTTGATTAATCAGGTTAACCTAATATTTTTTTTATAATTTCAATACCATAGTGATCACAGGTATATTGATGAGACAAGGGCAAAAATCTTATATAGCCATACAAATATATTTTTAATTAATTTAAAAACTATAAAGAAAAGGGAACTATGTTCGAAAGGTTTGTATCATTTCCTTTGTGTACTTCATCGATTCTTCTGCCAAGTTGAAATTATTTTTTTTATTAGACAGCTTATAAATACAAAAATAAGTATTTTATCTCACTTATTTTTAAGTTACATGTCGGTTTAATTATTGAAAATAAAAATACACAAAATTCTAATCAAACGATAAAAAGGGGTAGATTAAAGAATTGAAGTAATATTACGAAGAACAAAGATTTGATTGTTTGCATTGAATTGGTTCCAAAAGTAAAGGTCCGATTTTAAAAATTCTTTCACCAAGCTACGTCATAAGCGGGTAATATTAGTATTTAAATATAAGGTGTATATTATTATAATCTGCCAGGACTTCGTGGGGTGTATTAGAAAAACATACTGAACAGCTTTTATTACAGGAGCAACACTGTAACTATAATACAAAATTGTAATACCCAATAATCGTTGACAGTATGAAACAGCTGATAATTTTTTCGTCAATTCAGTGTTGCGTCCATAGTAGAAGTTGTTCTGCATACTTAACTAATCAACCCCACGAAGTACTGGCATATAATAATATTACACCTTATATGATATGTGATTACTCTGATTTCAAATCAAATTACTTGTTTTGTTTATTTAATTTTATATACTTATACGTATTATTATATTTTCTGGTCAGCTGACTGGTCAAAGCGTCCGGATTTCGCAAGTTCGTGGGCTCTAGTGCCATCACAGAATGGCTGGTGGATTTTTAAGCATTTTTCATTAAGACTATACTTATCAGTATTTATTTAGAAAAATAATAGATCTTATTATTCCATTTTCCATCGAACTCAGTGTTGCTGGCACAACACAAGTAGATAAAGAAATAATGTAATATTTTCGACACTCAATTGTTTTTTATTCTATGTTCTGCATGTCAAGGAATAAAAGCCCATTATATTTTTTCTATCTGTTTTTTAATAACTAATTCATTCTAATATCAGCAATAATCTACAGTCCACCTAAGAATCGTACATTGGTCCATCTCACCGGTAAGAATTAAGTTATATATAACAAACAGCAAAAGAGAAAATACGTTTCGTTCAAATCTCCAATATCAAGCAATGTTGCAAGAAAAAACGAAACGCAAGGGTACGTACTGATATGCAAGCAAAAGACCAAACTGTGCGAATTTCATTGTGATAGTTTATTGGCGCAATTTAGAGATACAAGAAAAAATCGACCAATAAGCGGCCGGTGCGGCACGGTCGAGCGGCAACGGTCCAGCGTGCAGCGAATCAACGATCAGTTTTCTTCCCTACTCGCCGGGCGGAAGTTCCGTCTGCAATTGCAAAGGCAAGCGAAAGGAAGCGTCTTTTGAAGCATTTTTGTGGTCAGAGTTTAGTTGTGAAATAGCTATTTTTTATTATAAAGTGAAAGTGCAAAAGTGTAACATCGTTATATTAGGAACTATAAGGTGTTTAAATCCTATTACTCTTGGAGCTATATTATTTAAGTGATATTCGTAGTCTACCCAATTTTGTAAGATTTTATAATCTCGTGTTCGTTAGTATTTAAAAATGGCGGATGCGCAAAAAAAGCTAATTGCAAGCCGGGGCTACGCAAAAGGAGCAATAACAAGGATTTACAATTTTACCTTGAATAAGGTTGAAGTTGAGAGTACCAGTAAGGAGACCCTGATAATAAAGCGGGATAGATTATTAGCAATGTTCAAAGAGTATGAGCGATGCCATCAAGACATTTTAGCTTATAATACTGAGGATACTGAAGACATATCTGTTATAGAAAGTCACTATTTTTCTAGTCTATCTGTTCTAAATGATGCAATTAAAAGGTACTCTAATTGTGTACAACAAGAAAATAATTTGGAGTCAGGTAATGACAAAAGTAACAATAAGGTTAAATTGCCTTCTATTAATGTTCCTATCTTTTCTGGAAAATATTCCGACTATATTAATTTTATTGAAATGTTTAAATCAGTCATTCATAAGGACAGAAGTTTAGATAGTGTACAAAAATTGTATTATTTACGTTCTTTTTTAAAAGACCAGCCTTATGATTTAATAAAAAATTTACCTCTATCCAATGATAGCTATAATAATGCACTGGAGTTATTAAATAAACGTTATTATAATAGGTACAAAATTGTAACAGAACATGTAAATACTTTACTAGATTTAGAAAAATTACCAAAGTTTCCAAAAGCTAATGATCTGCGACAATTTATTTCAGTTATTAGCCAAACATTAGCTGCATTAAGAAACATGGATTCGGCTGTGGAACAATGGAACCCCATATTATTGGGTGTTCTTACACGTAAGTTGGACATCTACAGTGCTCGTTCATATCAATTGGAGCGCAATCAGGAAAAAGATCCAACAATTGATGACCTATTGGATTACTTAAGCAGGCGAGCGCTTGCAATGGAAAACACTGAGCCGGAGATGCCTGAGACCAACAAACGTCTATCTACAACAGCGTCCTACAATAAAAAGGTAGTTTTGGCAGCAACAAAGGCAGCACAGCAGTGTCTATACTGTAAGTGTTATGATCATAAATTATATTTATGTCAAAAATTTAAATCATTGCCAGCAAGTGAAAGGGTTGATTTTGCAAAGCATGAAAATTTATGTAAGATATGTTTACATAAACATGTAGGTAAATGCAAGTTTCACTTTAGGTGCGAACAATGCAAAAATAATCATAACACATTGTTGCATTTTGAAAAAACTAATCCAGTAGTTTTATTATCTGGTAATAAATCAAATATGAATGCTTTAATTCCAACAGCACGAGTGAAAATCTATGCAAAAGATGGAACAGAGGTACATCTTAAGTGTATTCTAGACTCTGGTTCTCAAGTGTCTTTAATTACCACTAAGGCAATTAATGTCCTGGGGTTGACACCTCAACAAACTGATATAAGTCTATTTGGTGTCACAGAAAGTGAAAATAAAATTAAATATTGTATTCCATTAAAAGTTCATTCTTTAACCTGTGCATTTAATACTATTATAAATTGTAATGTTGTGGACAGAATTACATGCAATTTACCACAAAAACTTTTTGACACAAAGGATATAAATATTCCTCCTGGTGTCACATTGGCAGATACAACTTTCAATCAACCATCTGAGATAAATATGCTGATTGGTGTGGATGTCTTTTTTCAGATTCTCCTGCCGAATGAAGATTTTGGGGAGGAATCATCTGCAAGCAATTTTAATAAGTATTCACCGTCAACGTCACCACATATAATTAATACATGTTTTGGCCACATTGTTGCTGGGACTTGGGTTGGAAAGTGTAATCTTCTAAAAAATAAGGTTGTATCGCTTCTCTGTACTAAATGTGACTCTGATATTAGTAAGTGTATTAACAAGTTTTGGGAGGTAGAGAGTGTGCCACAATTATTATTTGAAAAGAATTCAGAACAGGACTTAGCTGAAGATATTTTTAAAAACACAGTTAAATTAGAAAATAACAAATTTCAAGTTGATCTGCCTTTGAAGGTGGAACGCTGCAAAATAAATGAGATATTAGGTAACTCATTTGATCTAGCTTTACATAGGTTTCTTAGTTTAGAGAAACGGCTACAAAAAAGTGGCAATTTATTAAAGGAATATCAAAAATTTATTGATGAATATATAGAGCTTGGTCATGGACATTATATAGATATTAACTCATATGATTTTACTAAGGATCCAATTTATTTTCTGCCCCATCATGCTGTAATAAATTTACACAGTAAGACTACACCTGTAAGGGTAGTGTTTGATGCATCGATGAAAACAAGTAAAAAGGTTTCATTGAATAATATTTTATTGAACGGTCCAATAGTACAAAAAGATTTATTTGACATAATTTCACTGTTTAGATTTGGAAAATATACATTAAGCTCAGATATTAAAAAAATGTTTCGCAATGTTTTGGTTAATCCAGAGCACACTTCACTACAGAATATTCTATGGCGTCAAAATCCAAATGTGCCCCTTCGTTGTATTCGTTTAGATACTGTCACATATGGTATGAAGCCATCAAGTAGCTTAGCCACACGCTGTTTATATGAACTTGCACAAAGGCATGAGCACAAATATCCTTTAGCTTCTTTTATTTTAATGAACTGCTGTTATGTTGATGATGTTTTATATTCATGTTCAGATTTGCACAAAATGCTTGAAGCTAAACAACAATTGCGTGAAATATTAAGTTATGGTAGCTTTAATTTGCATAAGTGGGCTTCTAATACACCTGATATTTTGTCTGATATTCCAGAATGTGAGCAGCAATTTACAATGTTTGATCTTCAAAAGGATAGTTATAGCATGAAAGCTTTAGGTTTGAAATTAGATGTAAAAAAAGATTGTTTTATTATAAAAGTACCAAATAATTTTAACGTTACTAAGATTACAAAAAGAGAGGTTCTTAGTTCAATATCTAAGTTCTATGATCCTATGGGATTTATAAGCCCAATAATAATAGGAGCAAAGGCTATTATACAAAAAATTTGGTCACATAATATTGGTTGGGATGAGGTATTACCTAATAAGTTAGCAGAAGAGTGGCTACAATTTTCAAATAGCTTGCTTGAAATGGAGCCTATTAGCTTACGACGTCACATACCAATCGAGGGTGCAATTTCATTGCAGCTTACAGGTTTTGCTGATGCATCTAGTAATACTGGGTACGGGTGCTGTATATACCTACGCGTGGTCGACAGTACAGGTAACGCTGAATTGCATTTACTCTGCTCAAAGTCGCGAGTTAATCCACGTGCAAATCCATTAACGATACCTAGATTAGAGCTTAATGCAGCATTATTATTATCTATTTTAATGGAAAGAATTTATGGAATTTTACATAATAATATAAGGATAGATAATGTGTATTTATTCACAGACTCAGAAATTACTTTAGCTTGGATTAGGACTGAATTAACCAAACTACAGGCATATGTAGCAAACAGAGTGAATGTAATTCGTCAAAAAACTGATAAATGGTCTTGGCTATATGTACCATCTTTAAGTAATCCTGCTGATTTAATTAGCAGAGGTATAAAACCACAAAAACTTCCAAATTGCTCCCTCTGGTGGAAGGGACCGGAGTTCCTTCAAAGTAACTACAGTTTTGATAATGAAATAGATTTTCCTGAGTTAAAGACGGTCAAGGATACCAAAAGCAAGGTAGTGTTAACAACTGTTGTAGATAGTAATATATTTAAGTTTCTTGAAAAATATTCAGATTTAAAAAGGATGACACGATTATTAGCTTACGTATGTAGGTTCTGTCACAATTTAAAAAGTAATATAAAAAATAAAGATAAGATATTATCAGCAGATGAACTACTTCATGCTTTGAATTTAATTATTAAATATGAGCAGTCAATTTATTTCTATGATGAGTTACAGTCATGGCGAAGAAAAAACTGCATAGAAGGCTCTTTAAAAGCTTTGCATCCGTTTGTAGATAATGATGGTTTGATTAGAGTAGGTGGACGGTTAGATAATGCGGATATTCCACTCTCACAAAAACACCCCATAATTCTACCAAAAAAATCACGAATCACGGAGTTAATAATTCGTGATGAACATATTCGATTGTTACATGTAGGTCCTAAGTCACTTTTAGCTAATTTAAACCAAAGATATTGGTTAGTAAATGGTATAAGGCAAGTAAAAAAAGTACTACATAAATGTATGACATGTTTTAGGCTCAAGGCTAATGCAGCGAAGCAGTTAATGGGGTCCTTGCCTCAACACCGTGTGAGGTCTTGTAGACCATTCCAAAAGGTTGGCATTGACTTTGCTGGGCCAATTCAAGTAAAAAATTCTAGAATAAGAAAGGCTTTGGTCACTAAGGGATATGTATGTATATATGTTTGCTTTGTAACAAAGGCTATCCACTTGGAATTAACTTCTGATCTTTCAACAGAAGCTTTTTTAGCTTCTTTTAAGCGTTTTATTAGTAGAAGAGGTTTGCCCAGTGATGTATTTTGTGACAATGGCGGTTGCTTTCGAGGGGCAAGGAACCAACTAGCTGAGTTGTATAAGCTTCATAATACAGTTAGTCATCAGACGTTAGTGCAGGGATATGCTGTTAAAGAGGGTATAAATTTTCATTTTACACCAAGCTATGCTCCAGTTTTTGCAGGCCTCGCAGAAGCAGCTGTAAAGAGTATGAAATTTCATTTAAAAAGAATAGTTTTAAATGCTTTATTAACATTTGAACAATTATGCACAATATTATGTCAAATAGAAGCTGTGTTAAATTCGCGCCCAATATTGCCCCTCTCCCAAGATATAAATGACTACTGTTATCTTACTCCAGGTCATTTTTTAATTGGGACAGCTCTTATTATGTATCCAGAAAAAGGTTTTTCTCAAACTGTAACTAACAGGTTAGATTTGTGGCAACAATGTACTCAGTTGAAACAAAGGTTTTGGAATGCTTGGCATAAGTACTATTTGAATGCTTTACAAAATAGGAATAAATGGTTTAGAAGTATGCCTAATGTTGCAGTAGGCTCTTTAGTAATTATGAGAGATGCTGGTACTGCTCCTTTCGTGTGGCCCATGGCTCGTGTAGTTAACGTGTATCCTGGAAAGGATGGTAGGGTTAGAGCCTTACAGTTGAGAACGGCTGATGGTAAATTATATGATCGGTCATTGCAGAGCATAAGCGTTCTGCCAATTGAATAAAGAACATAATTGTTTTTGTTAAGTATGTGTACTTTAATTTTTTTGCCTGCTGTGTCAGTTAATAGGTATAGGATATGTTTATAACTTAAAAGGAAGTGTTTTAGTTTAAAGGAAACTGTTAGTTTAAAAAAAAAAAACATGTTTTATCTTACAAGCTCCATAATATTACTTTGTAAAATAATTTTTATAACAACATGTTATTTTATGTTGCAATGTATGAATATTATTTATTTAAGTATCAGTAAAATAAATACTTATGATTATTAGTTATGTTTAGATTCATTACTATGATTATAACAAAATATTAGTTAATAGTAATTTAATTTTAAGTTAAATATTTTGATTATAAAATGAATATTTTGATTATTTCTGGTAACTTAAGTAATAATTATTTAATGTTAAAATAAAATAGCTTTTTCTGGGGCCGCAGCATGTTGCTGGCACAACACAAGTAGATAAAGAAATAATGTAATATTTTCGACACTCAATTGTTTTTTATTCTATGTTCTGCATGTCAAGGAATAAAAGCCCATTATATTTTTTCTATCTGTTTTTTAATAACTAATTCATTCTAATATCAGCAATAATCTACAGTCCACCTAAGAATACTCAGTACGAACCAAGAAGCTTATATATCTTTATTAAGTTTCTTGGTACGAACGATTATAGAGTTGGGTTATGCATATTTGTTTTTGTTTTATACGATAAGTACAACTATCACTATTCACTGAAAAAATTGAGACAACTGGAAAAGTCCGATATAACAGTTAGGTAATATTTGGATAGGACAATTACGTGCATATATTACTTTAGCTACATATATTAAAGCTATTTGTGTTCGAAATGGTTATTATTATTATATTATATTGCACTGTTCTTGTTTTAGTGTTATTGAACATTTTATTATAAATCCGTAAAATAAAAATAATTGAGTACAAATTAAAAATGGCTTATTTTATATTTTCCTAGACTACACATATTTACAAAATATAATCAAAAGTCAACAAAATTGTAACAACTATCTTTAACATAACCGCATCAATGTTTGATCTTATAACCGTAGCTCTTGCCGTCGTATTCTCCGTTCTCGGTGCCGAATCCGCCTTCTTGTTGGTTGTTGGACTCTCCTCCTTCGTCGGAAGAATGCTCTGCTCCGTCCTCCGCTCCGGAATGTTGTTCGTGGAAACCACCCTTTCCGAAATCAGACTCGTCGTGGTCTGATTCATGCGCGTCTCCTTTCGCGAACTTTGCGTTGTCTGATCCGTGATGAGCGTGTCCGTCAGCGTGCTCTCCGAAGCCACCTTTGACGTCTTCGCCATCGAAAACGTCTTGATCTTTTTTATATTCGTCCTTGTCGAAGACTTTATGATATCCATCGACCTCTTCACTTTTGCTGTGTAACTCTTTGTGTCCGTGGTCATTTCCTTTGAGTCCTTGGCCTTGGTCGAAATGATTGCCATATGCGTCTCCGTCGCCGTAACTTTTCTTGTGACCTCGTTCTCCGGATACTGAATATCTTTCGTATTTCTCGGTGTGGTAATCGCCACCACCCCCTTTGCCATAATGATGTTCATCAGCATATCCTTTGTACCCTTTATTTCCGTGATCTTTGTACCCTTTTGTCCCATAACCTTCCCCTCCTCCATGTCCGTGGAAAATATCATGATCAAAATATCCCAATCCATGCAAGTAATCAGTGTAGTCGCCGTTATACTTGCCAAAATCACCTGCATAATCTTTGAACATTTTTTGATAGTCTTCATCAGCAATACCGTCTATATTATCGTGATCATCTTCTGATTTTTCTACCACGGGAATAACATGTTCATCTGTACGAGAAGCTGATTTTATACCGTCCTCCTCTTTTGCATAAAAGGGGCCCGCTGCTACGGGAATGGGTGCAGCAAACGCCTCAGGCTGTTCATAGAGTTTAGATAAGTGTTCCATGACTTCACTTTCTCCCATTTTAATAACGCTAGCGGCACCATTGTTATCTTTCTTATATATGTATCCTGTAGCAGCCGGCTGGAGGTCGGAACCTGTTGTCCGTACCATAACCATTCTTTCTACTGTCTCCCGCATCTCCATGCAGGAGGCTACGCTAACTAACAGCAACGCGACGATCCGACGCGCCATGTCAGCGGTGACGACTGACAGAGTAATAAAGATAAAGGTCAAGAGTAGTATTTATATAGTGAACATAGCTGAATCGAACGTTGACATTCATAAATGGACCGATTCTGCAGCGCTCTCTAGATTGAGCAATGATCTTCTGTGTCAATGATAATGAAAAACCCTGTGTTAATTTGTGCGGTGCATAGCTGCGCGTTTAGGTGTCTGCATATAAAAAGCCTTCGCTCAGTGTGTTATTATTACCAACCTTCAAGAAGGTCGACGGACATTGACCAAATTGCCACTTCATACGTGACATTATATGCTTAGGTACCATATTCCCAGTGCACGTATATAATTTTAGGAGATTTAAGAAAATATCTTAATATGCTTATAATGATATTTTAACCTATTTGTTAATATGAAAAATACGTGATTAAATTTTCTTACGGGAAAATATATTTTAATAACCAAGTACCTAATAAGATTTTTTAATAATAACAGACACAAGTTACCTGTCTACATACATATATACACATACCTACGTTTATTAATATTGTGGGAAAAAAAATTGACGAACTATAAAGCCGATTACAGACTTTAAAATCGAGGTTAAATCTTCGACGGCGATGTATGTTTTTTTCTGTGTATGTTCACTGACTTTTCCGTGATTTAACCGATTATCATTTTTTTTATTAGACAACTTATGGGCTCCAAGTGGTTTCATATAAATTTTATCGAAATAAAATCGGTATTTTTATAACAAAACAAATGTTATAATCAGCGCAAAAACAAAAGATAGCGTATTTGATAAATACGAAAGGAATATTTTCTACGTGCAACGGATATGTATCTTTGTAAAACAATTTTTTATGTAAGTAGGTATGTTCAATTTCTTCATGAATGTGAAATTTCTATCAAACTAAATTTTTTCCCGCGTCTTCGCCTTCGTAAATTATAGGTGACTTTTTTTAAAACAGTCTAGTATTTCCGCAGCCTATTAAATGCAAACTAAACAAACGATCAAATTATTTATCTTTATAATATTAATATAGATATGTATTAGAAAAAATTATGTCGAGCAAGTAAACAAATTCTCCTTTCCCAAGACGTTTAACATTTTTTTTATTCAAATATTTAATATTTCTAGTGGCATCTATATAAAAATAATAATAATATCACCAAACATTAAATTATTGTTTAATCATTGATAACCTACAGCAGACTTATTTTTGAATAATTAAGTCACTTTTGAGATAAGTATTATTTCTCACTTTTTTTAAATCCTCGATGGACAAGATAGCTCGCATTTGGTCGTTTTTACGGACAGGAAAAAAAAACATGATTTGTACTATGATTAATGGATACTCTCAAAACATAACATTTGGTAGAGGAAATGTCATGGAAGACAATACCACATACAGTGCTCAGACAGATCCCAAATTAAGTAGCTTAAGCACTTGTATTATGGAAATCTGGAACAACGAAGGTACCACAACACAAAGAATATATAATAATAAAAATATCGGAAACTAGAGGTTGGATTCGTCCGTGAATGAAACCAGGACTTCGAGATGGCGATTCCTTGAATCTTATGTGAAAAGTTGTATGCCAAGTGAGTTCTGCCTGCATAATGGTAGATGGAAAACTGAAATAAAACGTCTTTCGGGCGCTGATTTAAAGAGGCGTTAAATTTTTCGACGCTCATATAAAATCAATACTTTTTATTATTGCAATAGTTTCCTAATTTACACGTAAGATTTGAAGAGCTCGAAGGATTTTTATCGAAAAATCTATTTCTAAATAACAGTTTAATGCAGTGAAAGAACATCGTTTTTAATTGTTATAAAAAATAGAAATGTTCTTCAACGCGTAGGTTAATTAAATTTTCTTGTTGTTCTGATAATTCACAGACCGCTTTTTTACTGTATTTTATCGTCCTCCAACATCTTCACCAGGTAAGTCCAGCTTGATTTTCAATAGTCTCCGGACCATTTCTATAAAACAATGCATATGGTTCACTATCTTGAAATTCTTCTTCGTGACTGCCTATCCTTGCAGTTTTAATCGGCTCACGTTTTTGTAACATATTGACATCATTGCCAATGTATTTTCGCATTTTATCCGATATACTATTGCGTCTCGGCTTACCATATGCATTATCTGTATCTCTCTTTTTATATTCGTTGGTCTTCATTCTTCTGTCAGTAATTTTCTGTGACATATCGTCAAGAATTCTAGTCATTATTTGGGCATTTTTGTCTTTAAAATTTGCTCCATTTTGGAATGTTTTATCTACTAACATAGACGTTGGGATGCGCATATGATTATCGTCTCTCATTTGGGTATACAATGTGGAATGTTGATGTTTGTTACTTATCCTGACTCGTTGTGGCTCCGATGCGATGTCTAATTTACGAACGTTAACTTGTAGTGTATCAACTTTATTATCATGAATGTTCATTTTATTCACACGTTGGCCGCGTCGATTCTCTACATTGGGCTGATTGCGTTGATGTGAATTATTACTATTGACATTTTTCGCTCTCGAGACTCTCGTATTTATTTCATCATGGTTATATTTTGTTTCGTCTTTCACTGGTCTTGGTGTTTCTGTACTACGTTGATTGAATTTATACACTGGAATTCTTTCGTCAAAGGCTTCCTGTTGCTTCTGTTTATTTATTTTTTTCATATACTCGCTCCTTTTTTCTTCTTTGATCTTTTTAAAAGATTGTACTCCAGATATTCCCATATACCTCCGTGGTTTCAGGCTATACCTTATCGAATATGATTCCGGCTCTTTATTGATAGATACATAACCGATATTTGGATTGTCTGCAATTACATAGTACATATGTACAGATAAAAATTGATAAAAATAAATAAATGCACATAACGTTCGCAGCAATTCGTGCATGTTGAAAAATAATTAATACTAACTAGTTGAATGATATGTGAGTCGCTATATAGGCTGAAACGGTTGTTTACAATTAATCATTATTCCACAGTGACATGTAAACAAATAAACACAGTAGAGTAAATAATTGCATAGTTTATAATACCAACAACCTGTACTAACTACCAATAAGAAAACCATTCATTTTAATAATTTTAAAAATATTTTTTTGTTAAAAATATAAATTTAAAAATTAATATGTACTTACATACCTATATAAAAATATTTATTTTACTTATTAAGTCGTTTTTTTTAGTTTATCTCAGAAGATTTTATACGAAGGTTCATATGACTGTGGAATTCAATATTTTTTTTATTTAAACAGATCTATGTGAATTATGTAGTTAAAATAAATCAAATGCCGTACAATATTAAATGAAAATCGCCCAACCACGAAAATGAAAAATAATCTTGGGGATTTTGTTTATAATATTTAATATTTACGTATGTAATATTTATTTTTTTAAATGGAACCGACTGCAAACTTTAAAAAAGCGAGGTTTTCTGTGCGGTATCAATTAAATGATAGCCGCCCGACTTCAATACGTTTCGTGAATATGTCGCCTTAAATGTATTATTTAAAGTTTGAAATCTGTTCAATTAAAAAAAAAAACATTCATGCTTTTTAGTGATATTAATAAGAAACACTAAAAATATTAAAAATCTGTATAAAATATATGTCAACATAGTCAAAGTCTTAGGAAAAGAGATGTTTATTTGCTCGATATCATTTTTTTTAATACGATCTATACTCAAATTACAAAGAGAAAGATTCGATTACTTGTTTGTTTGCTAGACTCCGAAACTATTTAACCGATAAAAATTCTTTCATCTACGAGAAGCTACATAATACGCCGGGTACCTACATAGGCTATAATTTACGCAAGCTAAGTCGCGGGGAAACGACTAGTTACAAAAATACTTACATACAAAAATATAAATACCCGTTAAACATAGAAAATCCTCCTTTAGCATTTTAACGCAAAATACGCAATCTTTTGTTTTTTACGCAGATATAAACATATCGTCTAAAACTCTTAATATTTAGGTGATATTTGTTAAAAAAAAAACATTTTAATATTGTTATAAAAAGAAAACTACTAATTCGATTGCAATATAGGATATATTGCAATCGAATTAGTAGTTTATAATAAATTTAAGTAATATTGAAAGTATGATAATAAATTAATTGGTAGTATTATAATAATTTAAATGGGACCTCGGGACATTAAGCTGTCTAATAAATAAAGAATTTAAAATATAACGATAATAGGATAACAATATGTGGAGAAATCGGTGAAAATTCATAAAAAAAATTCATCGCCATCGAACATATAACCTCCTTTTCGATTTTGTTGTCGGTTAAAAAAATATTTAGCCGTCGACCATAAAAAATCCTCATAGGAATGCAAAAACGTTATCTTTTCTTTTCTTCGTCATCTAAGTACTTTAGAGTATTTGACGGAACATTAATTACTTATTCGATTTCGATAAAATTGACATGGGGGTCACCTCGGGCCCATAAACTGTCTAATAAAAAAGAATTTTGGGCAATCGGTCAAGAATTCGTGGAATAATTAGCGAACATACTTAATTTTCTTCTAATACATCTTCGTCCTACATAGAACCGCTTCCTTTTCAATATTGAAGTTGGTTTAAAAATTAACCTATGCTTATAAGTATTGTAAAGAAGTAAAGTTTTTAACTTTGTTTGTTTGTAGATCATGAGAAAAAACGAAAGAAAAAGAAAAGAAAAAACTAGAATAAACATAGTTTTTTTAATACAATAGATACGTCATTTTCTGTTCCTATTTAAATGTCTATCCTTACTTTGGTCTTGTAATCTTTTTGTTTTGTTTGAAAACTAACTGAAATTGTAATCAACTTCAAATAAAAGTAATCACGATCGTTCTTAGCTAAATATGTTAAGAATGATGATTAAGTACTTATGTGATAGGAGTCTTAGCAAGCTAACAATACTAATAAATTTACTATTAGATTAAAGCGAAATTACCAATACATCTTTTCAAATTCAGAACATTAATGAGCTTAAAGTAGTCATTAAACCTTAATGGTCGTTTGTGTAATTGGGTGTTAGTTATTTATCTATCCAAAAGAAACGTCAAAGTATTAATATAAAAGGAAACGTCGTCATAACATCGCTAAAATGTATCCTATGGCTAGACTCATTGCTAGAGAGTTAGGCGGTCGCATCCCAGTACCTACATAGTCTCCAAGGTATTATTGGAACTGTTTATCACCCATGTTTAAGTCCCAACTGCAGGGGTTCAGGCCTACCATATGGATGGTTAAGGAGGATGGGCCATAACCATAGAGTAGAGATAGTAATTTTTGGCCATCCACCCCGTGTGAGTTACTTAACGTTCGCGGGCAGCAGTGCTTATCCACTACGACATCGAGATACTCATACATCTCTCTCATCTCAACGTACCTACATAGCTTACGAATAACATGCTGCAAATCAAGTTAATAACGAAATCTCAGGTTATATATATCATAAATCATATATCTACAAACTGGTCAAGAGCAAGTCGGACTCGCACGCCGAGGATTGTTTATAATTTTTTATCTTTAAATAAAAAAATGGATCAACTTTTAAACGGTTCCATTACGTTTCTATTATTCTTTTATTGACGTTTCGCACTCTTTACTTTTAACACCTTAGTCTTAAGTGAACACGAAACCTGTTAATGATCCGAAAAGTAATTTATTATCGTATTAGAAAAATATAAACGCGACGAAACCGTTTAAAAGTTATTTCATTTATGCAAATAGCATTTAGCATGAAAATATAAGAAATCAATATAAAAACATATATTTTAGATTGTTATAACAAGTCCACACCATTGATATGTCACTCAATATTGTATGTAACACTTTTTGAAATTTTATATTACACTTTATTTCGATCCATAAACCGCGGTGTAGTCGGAGAACATATATAACGAATAAATACCGTCAAACACAGCAGTTTTCATTAGAAAGTCGACAGTTAAATATCCCAGAAAATGATTCTAGCGTTCGACATTATGTTTTTTGAATGTACCTTTACCAAAAAAATTTATGCGAAATTAAGTTTATCGATACTATAATATTATAAATAGGAAATATTTGTATGTTTGTTTGCAACGAATAGGCTCCGAAAACTACTGAAATGATTTTAAAAATTCTTTCCCCTACGCGAAGTTACATCATATACGGTGAAAATAATCTAAAGTATATTTTATCCCGAAAAATAACAACTAAAGGGATGAAAATGGGTGTGGAAGTTTGTATGGGGAATAAAAACATTGCCATAGTAACCATTGCTTACTATTCAATTTACAATTGAAATTGTGTGCGTGTCGTGATATTAATCGATATCCAAATAAACAGTCCCCTAGAGACCACCCGAGCGAAGCCGCTGGCTGAAAGCTAATGTTCATATATTCGCATTTCTGCATAACATAATACACTTAAAACGCATTTATTCAGGCTGCACGCCTTTGGGTTAGTGACTTACATAATTAAATTTCATGTTATTATAAGACAGAGTCGATAATTTTACAGATTAGGCAACATCATTAATAGTAGAGGTATTTTTTTCTCTGAGATGTGGATTACAATTGGATCATCACGGATTTTTCGGTGTGGCACTGGCACGTAGCTCCAAACGCCGCGAGCTTCCTCTGCTGGTCGTCGGTTCCAAAGTCGTTAGGATACTCAGCAAATCCCCCCGATGTACCCTCACGTGAGAGAAAGGGTCCGGGATCCAGCAGAGCCGGATAGAACAACCGCCGGTTCTCGATATTATGACATGAATTGTTACTTAACAGTCATACACGAACAGAAGCACTGAGTTTTAGTAAGTATGTATAATATTTAATTCTTTTGTATAAATATATTATTTTAGATAATTGATCCCCATATTTTGTTTTGTTAAACTTGTCAGTTATATAAATAATAATCTACTGCTCAATCCACATTCCCATGATTCACACATTGTCTTACTTTTGTTGAATAATATTTAATAACATTATAGTTTACATTATGCTGTGCTACGATGTAGAATAATAGTCATCCGTAAGTGTGGCCGTGAAACGCACAATGAAAGTGTTGCAGCTCATAATTTCCTGTTGTATATTTCTAACTAATGGCAAATTAATAGAAAAAGTTACAGAAAGAAACAATGGCACTAAACAAACTGATGCACCTAACCCTGTTCGAATCTCTAGACAGGCTTACTACGATGATGGTTTAGGAATATCCATAGAAGACTACCAACGAAACTATATTAGAAAGGGAAGGTACTCTATAAAGTCTCAAAAAGACAGTGACGAGGACTCATCATACACTGTGAGAGTATACAGAGATTCCAATGAAAAGCGAGCAAGATCGAAAAATCTAACTAATGTTTCTGTAGAGCAAACTAAAAATGCAAAGATTTTGATAAAGAAACCGATACCTAAATTCAATGAGATTGATGAAGAAGATTTTCAAGCCAAAGTTAGAATGAGCCCTATAAAAGTAGCTGATTCTAGTGAACATGAAGACGAAGATTTCAATTTGGATGATTACGAATTCGATGTCAATCACGATGAGTTCGTCGGCAGAGGAAAACCATTAGAACCACGTGCAAAATCTAAAGATAATAAAGTCCCACTTGAAAAGGAACTGTCAAATTCTAAACCAACTACAACACCACGTCCTCAATTCAAAATACAAAGTAAAGTAGTGATTCCTGTTAGTCCTACAACTAATAAGAAGAGAAATATAATAACAAAAAAAGTTGCAGATAAAATGAAAGAAGACTACTACGACGATGTTTTTTCGACATCCACTAAAACACCAGATATCGAAGCAAAACGAGAACTGGATGAAGAGTTTTTCAATGATTCTGGCGACAGCAAAGAGTACTCTCCAAAAACACCTGTGAGAACCATCCGATCACCTTGGAATATAAAGTTGTTGGCTGATAAAATGGGTAGTAAGAGTGCAAATATTCTTTCGAACATTCTCGCGTATTTACCGATATTCCCGGAAGCTCCAGTTTCAAGAGAAGGCATCGTTGACGTAGCGAACCTCGATCCAATCACCGGTAGAGAATATATGTTCTAAGCATTTACTTATTATCTTTTCTTTATTGCCTTTGATTAGTTACTTTTATTATAAAAATAATTCAAATTATTCAAATGCTTATGGGGTTAATAACGTGTTTTGGAAATACATGTTTTTATTATTATTTTTTTACATATTTTTGTAAGTTCATTAATTTAAAAACTGCTTTATTATATTGATAACTAGCTTTCCGTCAGCGGCTTCGCCCGCGTGGTCTTGTATTATACATAATAAGCTTCCTTTTGAATCACCTATCTATTAAAAAAAACCGGATCAAAATCCGATGCTTAAAGATTTAAGCATACATAGGGACAGATAAAGTGACTTTGTTTTATACTATGTAGTGATATCAACCACGGCTACGCTGCAATGCATAAGCAGATTTGGATAAACTTCTATATTAAGACACCTTTTAGCTTATGGTTCTTCAAGTATGAAGTTAGTACACAAATAAGATAAATAAAAAACAATGTTCATAATCATTTAATAAAAACGAATATAAAAAAGTTATATAACAGTTCAATAAAAAATACTAAATGTACTGCACTTATTCTTACTTAAGAAAAATACGATAATGGAAGCTTGAGGTCAAATTTTTAATCGTTTTTATTCTTTTGTACAAATAAAAAATATAAAAAGTTAAAATATAAAAAGTTAACTACTTTAATCTTCTATGCTTCCAATTTTTTGATTATAATATCAACTTTGGTTTGACAGTTGTTAAGTAGTTTCATGTGTATTAACCATCATAGTTACATAAAAAACACTATGGAGGACGCAAAAGGAAGAAAACAGAGTGTAGCATGAAAAGTTTAACAAAAACAAGCACGAAATGACAACATAGCCAGCTATGCTTCATGTTTGATTAATATTGAGAATTGTCGCGTTTTTAACTTAAACATATTTTAACAAGTAGAATTGATATGTCTATTTAGTATAGGACTAAAGAGACAGAGAGTATAATAAGATAACATGAAAATACATTAAATTTTATATCACAATTTAACCAAGATTCAAGTTCCTAAACGTTAATGATTCCAGTATTTCTAACCTAAACTTGTTTAATATGCAAGATAGCAGTGTACTATTTTTCTTTTTGCCATTTAATATGCTAGGTGAAAAACTAACACTATTTTTATCAACAATAACTCTAAGATCTCACTTTTCATTTAAAGTACTTAGGTATTTAATAAGTACTATAAATTTACGTATGGAATTCTAAGGTCTATACTAATTAATGATTTATGTAATCGGCACTGTTGCTTTGTGCAGCTTTCTTGGCCACATCTCTATATCTATTAAAATCGCTGTCGTATCCCTTGCTGTTATCATGGCCTTTATTATTAAGTTCAAAACTCTTCTTATCACTATTACCAGCGTTACTGTAACCGTTTGCTTCGTTCCCCAAAGAAGCTGCAGCATGTGATTGCAATATTGCATTTGAACCACCGTTGTGAAGTGCAGTACTGCCTTTCTCATCAGCTTTGGCCTTGTTTTTTCTATTATCGAAAAATTCATTGTCCTCTTGATATTCGTCTTTGTGGTATACTCGTCGGAACCCTTTTCTGTTTTCACCCTTATCTTGGCTTTGGGATAAACTGTATTGTGAATCTTTCTTTTGTTCTTCCCCGCCAAATTTATTTGCAAAAGTATCAACGAAGTTTTTGAAACCATTGTAATTATTACCGTTTTTCTCATAAGCAGATTTATGTTGTTCTTGCTGATCATCACCCTTTTTATGATTGTCGAATTCGTGTTGTTTGTTATAACCCTTTTCCTTTGATGAATCGCCTAGTGAAACCTGAGAAGAGATATGATTGTTATTTGTTTCGCCTTTAAAGTAATTATCGTCAGCTGGTGTGTAATGAGACTCCAACCTCCTATCTCTTTTCTGATCTAATGGAGGACCCTCATGATCAAATTCCTTACCCCAATCCATACCTTTAAAAGATAAGTGGTCGTCATCGGTGTTCTTGTCAAAATAATCGTTGAGAACAAAAGAAAAAAAAGGTTTATTTCCATAAATTGGATTATCTGTAGACATAGCACGATCAAATCTTGTAGTAGCCGGTGTGGCAACATAGTCAATAGGTGTCTCATCCACATGTTCATATACAGGAATTACGTCTTTTACAACACCAGCGACATAACGCTTGTCTTTTGCTTTTTCTACATCCGCATCTATTTTCATAGCTTCATATTCGTAGGGACTATGATAATAATAAGGCCAACCATCATATGAAGTTCTGGAACTGGACCTTACGTCGTCATCATCGATATGGTAGTCATTATGGACATCATAATAATTAATATCGCCCATTGCATCTGGGTACTTGTAATGCATAATAGATTTCAGCTTTTCATACATTGCGTCAGTTTCCATTTTCGATGGATAATAATGGGAATCAAACTTTGCTTCTGATTTAGATTTTTCGTAATCAATATCGTAACTGGAAACTGAATCAGGAGTGTAAGGTCTGACGGTGTCGGCGTGAATTTCCATAGACTCCATGCCAAGCTTAATTCCAAGTGGTATGGAATCGTATTTACTTTCAAAATTTATCGGGTAATGGCTTGATTTCCCTAGTGAATAACTTTTATAATCACTTGCGTCGTTTCCGTACATTGACAATGTACCAGGTTGATCATTAACTTTACTGTAATAATATCCAGAATGTACAGGCGGCGAATTCGATCTTGATTTGCGTGCCATATAAACATCGTGTTGCGAAGATCTTATTTCGGTATTCACAAACGTAAAGAAACATATAAACACAGCACGGATCATTTTTGTCACTATTTCAGGACAACACGGTTCAGACGTGTACCTTTGAACTGGTTTGCGATTAAACTGGAAGTAGCCGTTTCTAATCATGTTTATATTTACTGTTTATTATGACGGCATTGTTTTAATGACAATGGCTGTGGGTCAGGTTGAGTTTTGAAATATCCCGTATGCACAATGATCAATGGGCCTAACACAGGTTAGTCAAGGCATAGGAATTCAATTAAACACAAAGTTAATTGAAATCTAGACTACCAGTCTAGTCTTTTTTTAAGCTCAATTATTTTATTAGATAACATATACAATACTAATTTGCATTTGATATTTCTTTCAACATTTCCTGGTATTGTTTATAGTAATACGGCCGTTGATCAACAACCGTATAATACCAATATACCTTGTATGTTAGGACACACACAAGGGGAATCTAAGTAGAAATTATGTTATTTCATTTTTCAAAACGTCTGGGTTGAATTTCCAAACTCAATATGAATACTAAGGATATGGTTCTATCGTATCGATGACATGGTTCTTAAGAACAAATCTTCGTAATTCTTCTAGTTTCAGAATTTCTCATAAGGACCGTTCCAAATGTTACACCTTAATAATTTACCTAACATTCAACGCACCCTTACGTGTCACTATAATAAATAACATAAGGTTTGAAATAATCCCCAAAATAATATGAGTCTTTTCTACGTATGTTTTATTTAACTCTTGGACTAAACACGGAGCTCCTGTTACCCTTCTATGAAGCTCTAGGGACTACTTTTCGGGAATCGTTCTAACCGATTGCGATTATCTCTACTTTTCTACTTTAGACAAAACCAAAAATCACTAACTTTCAATTGGTTTGTAATGAACTAACAACCAAACAAGCTGTTGAAAAATTTAAAATGACAATATTACCTAAATCATATTTCTTATTAAGGTCTATAAGTGATTTTTTAAATTGCCTCGATAGAAAAATAACATCGTCATTCTTGTTTAATACTCTAACAGCTAGTTACACAAACGTCCATTGTCATTAGTTTATCGACTCATTATTCATACTTTAGAACATTCATTAAAGCTTAATTTCGTTATTAAACCGTAATGGACTTTTGTGCAACTGGCCGAAAGGCACATGAACCATTATTGTTCAATTACATAAAAAAGACAAATTATAATGCTATTGCAAAATTGCCAAATACAATAATCCATTTATATTTAAATAGCTTTGGATGCAAGTCGTCGCCCTCTCCACGAATGACTGACCGGCCGGCGCCATTTGACCTTCCAGTTGCATTTGTTACATTTGACCGCTATTGTTATTCATTCTTTGTTGACTTGTAATTTACCTATTCAGCCAGAGGCCGAAACTGCGTACAAACAGTGTCTGTAATTTTATTTTCAATTTGCTTAATAAATATTTAATTAGGTCATCATAAATACGGTGTCGCTGTATTCATGTTATGAAGGTAATGGCCTAATACTCACTCAATATTGGAATTATGGTAACGGTAATATAATTGATTACACCCACGATTTCGCTAAGTTAGTACTAACTAACAGAATATAATCATCATGGTGGATGCCTAATTGGGCAACTTATGATTATAAACGACAATTAGATTATAGAACTTTTTTCCGTCATAATAACTTTAATATGCAGAACAGCATACACTCATATAGCATTCCTACGATGAAAGACTCATAATTTTCAAAGTCTTGCAAAGATTTTCTTTTGTTATTGGAAAAATTAAAAAATTACTCATTGGTATCAAACCAGTGTTTTGCGTAGGGCGCCAGGTTTTATTGAGCCGGCACTGGCCAAATTTCATAAAGTTGATGATTGGGTTAAAAAAAAAGCTATTTAATCCATCAGTCAGATAATAGAAAAATATTATATACGTATTTTTATTTGCTTCAATTTAACAAGAAATAGCTTAAGTAACAGGCATTAAAGGGGCTCGCTACGTCACAGTTTTGTAGAAAATATACAAAAGCGTGACGTCATGCACATTTAAACTCAATGTATCGCCATAATTTATTGATGAAGCAAAAAAAACTTCAATGATCTACCTGTCGAACAAACAAACAAAAATAAGTTGTCATCCCTAGACCATAAGCACTTTTAGTAGTACGCCATAGTAAATTCAGATACAAATATCCGGCCAATAGATATTAAACAGTCTGTTATGCCAAATAAGAATTGAGATTCTGCCAGATAGAAGGAACTGCATTAGTAGGACATTCAAAAAATATTCCCCAAGCCCCGGGGCTCACACTGTAACACCAGCCTATATGTATACAATAACTCCTTTAAGGCGCTATCGAATTCGATATTGTTCCATCGCTTTTAGGTCAGTGTAGAATTTTTTTATTAGAAAACTTCAAAAATAATTGTAAGGAAAATTATATCGAATGACTAATGAATGGCGGACGATGGTTTCGTTTCGTCGGAACTTAACAACAATCAAGGGTGCATCAACGTTAGCAATAAAATTATTAACACTATCGATAAGAAATCAAATGACATATTTAATCCTGTGCTCTCTATAGATATTGGTAAATTTGCAATGTT